TTGCTCCAGGGTTGAGAAAATCTGAGACCTGTTGGTTGACATAGTCCACCTTAGTACATCAACAGATCCAACACTCGCTGCAGCGCTTGGCCAGGAGTGTCCAGCCTGTTCTGCTTTCCTTACTCTGAAGCAGTTGACATCTGCTAGCGTAGTGGAACTGGCTGTCATGTCTAACCTATGCATCTGACGTGCTGTCCACATGCATCAGCAGCCGAGGAGGCCCAGTCCCAAGGCATGCACTCCAAGGGTGGACACCACTTGTTATTCCTTGTGACTTGGTTGAGTCTAGTGGTGTAGTTGTGGAGTCCTCCAAGAAACCTCATCTAAGGTGACCTCAGACTTGACTCTTGTGTGTACCAGCCAGTTTAGGCTCAGGTGTTGTCTCACACCTGCACCAGCCAATTCACATACCAGTGGATCTAGTCAGTGGCTTAGTCAGGATGACCCCCAGGAATCCCCAGCAGCCCCAGCCCCAGCCCTGGTTTTTGCACATGCCAGCCTCTGCTACAGACTAGCCTAACCCAGCCCACATCCTGCCTGGCTCTTGTGCACACTCGTGGGTGTTGCAGCTTAGCTTAGTCCACCCCACTCCCATACCCACCCCTCACATATACTGACTGGTGCTGCCAGCTTGTCTAACCTGGCCAAACCCCAACCCCAGTTCTTCTGCTCACCAGTGATAGGGACAGCTTAGCAGCAGAGTGCCCACAGTTCCTCTATCAGACATATTCTCAGCCCTGGATCTTGCACCTGCAAAGGTGTACTGTGGTCCAACCTAACATGACTTGCACCCAATCTGGGCACTTTCCAGCTAGTGATGCTGCCTAACTTGGCTGGCTCCGCCCGTTCTGGCTCTTGTGTGCATCGGCAGGTATGGCAGCCTAGCCCAACCTGGCCTGACACCTGTCCCAGCTCTCAAGCTCACCATTGGAAGCAGCAACTAGCAAGGGAGTCCCAGAAATCAAACTTGCTCCCAGCCCTGGGCTTGCATGTGCCGGCACATGCTGTACCCCAGTATGAGATGACCTGTCCCCGTACTTGGTGTCAGCCAGCAGGTGCTAGCTACAGCCTGGCTCAGCCTGACCTGGCCCATTCCTAGCCCTCATGTGGACTATTGGGTATTGTGGTCCAACCCAGCCTAGCTTGGACTCTGTGCTGCCTTTCACTTGTGCCAGTGTGTGCTGTGGACTAACTGCCCGGTCCACCCCCAGATCTGGCTCACATGTATGCAATGGGTACTGCATTCCAGCCTGACTTAGCCTGCTCCTAGGCCTGACTTTCATACTGCACAGTGGGAGCTGTGGACTAGCAGGGATTTCCCCAAGTTCCCTACCAGACCTACTCCCAGCAGTGGATCTTAAGTGTGCCATCTGGTGCTGCTACCCAGACTGACATGGCTAGCCCCAAGTCCTGGCACTCAGCGGCAGGGCAGGTACTATGGTCTAGCCCAGCTGACCTGCACCTATTCACAGCTCTCACTGATGTGTGCTACATCCTAACCCAGTCTGGCCTGCCACTAGACCCAGTCTTCAAGTATGCTGATGAATGCTGCAGCCTTGCCCAGCCTGGTCCACCCACAGCCCTGGCTCTTGCATCCACCAGTGGGAGCTGCAACCCAGTAAGGGAGTCCCCTGAGTTCTCCTGTCAGGCGCATTCTCAGCCCTGGGTCTTACATGTGCTAGCAGGCACTTTGACTCAGCCTGACATGGCCCACCCACAGTCTAAGCTCTTACTGGTGGGTGTTGCAGCCTGGCCCAGCCAGGTGCAGCCCACATCTGGTCCTGGCTCTCCTGCATGCTGGTGAGTACTGAGGCCTGGCCTGCTCCAAGCCCTGGCTCTCACACCCTCCAGCAGGAGTTGCCCCCTAACTGGGAGTTCCCCAAGTTCCTCTACCAGGCCTGTGCTAGAGGTGATCATGTGCTTAGTATGGTCTTCCCTCAGTCCCAGCCCTTGAATGTGCTGGCTGGTGCTGCAGCCTGGCCTAGCCCCACCTCCTGCAAGTGTCAGGTGGGTTTCTGTCAGGTGAGCTTTGTGGTCCAGCCTGGCTCTGCCTGTCACCACCCCCAGCTCTCCCTGTGACCTGGGCAGGTGCTGCAGTCCCACAAAGGCGAGTCTTCTGTACGATTATATTAATTATAGTTACAGATCAGAAAACTGTTTTTCACTTAGATAACAAAAAATAGGGATTGGGGACCCTTTAAACTACTTACGTCAGTATTTCAAGGATGAACCAGTCAATACCTGAAATTTTTTACAAATTAACTGCCGGCTTTCTAATGGCCACGTATTTGGAAGGAAGCATCAAAGTAATTGCATACATGAGTGACAGCAGCAGTCACCTTTCTTCCATTAATTACTCTGTACCACACACGTTTTACACAGGCCTCTGCGAGGCCTCTCGTTTGTGATTTGAGGTGTCGGACTTTGACAGTTCTGCGTGAGCAGGGCGAGATTAGCCAGTTGAGGCATTGCGCTAGCCCTGTTTTATAGAGTTCTCATTAAAGTCATTTTGTGCCCTTTGTCTGGCTCTCCATCCGGAACATTCCCCCCACTTCATTCTGTAGTATTCATTCAAGGGTGTATTTTTGAAAGTGAATTGCATGAAGTACATTTACCTTCATCTACTTAGTAACAACCTGCCTTATTGCCAAGCATTCACATGGTGAATTATGCAGCCCAAGCAGCCTTGTGCCTTTTGTGTTTGGGCACATGGATTCCTCCCTGCTTTGAGGAGGGGGCGACAGGATGTGTCTGCGCGGAGTGATGGAACGGAGGACGACAGCCAGAAAGAAACAAGCTTGCTCCCAGTCATCGTGGTGGGGATTTGATGTGTCCGGGGATTGTAGTGTGAACATTTAATATATTTAAATTTATTTATTTTTATTGAAAAGTCAGATATGTATAGAGGAGGAGAGACACAGAGGAAGATCTTTCATCTGCTTATTCACTCCCTAAGTGACCACAATGACTGGAACTGCACCAATCCAAAGCCAGGAGCCAGGAACCTCCTCCAGGTCTCCAATGTGTGGGTGCAGGGTCCCAAGGCTTTGGGCCGTCCTCGACTGCTTTCCCGGGCCACAGGCAGGGAGCTGGATGGGAAGTGGGGCTGCCAGGATTAGAATTGGCTGGGATCCCATCAGAATGGGATTAGCCACTAGGCTAATGTGCTGGGCCCATTTTATATTCCTTTAAACAGTTTGTTAAATATTCTTTTTTAAGTTCAGTATAATAGCATAGGAACTTGCTTTTCAGTAAAAGATTCTGACACTTCATGTAAACTGTGATGTTGAAACATCTTGTTTCAGCTTTGTAATGTAATACATAGGACTTCTAGTGATTGTAATATTTTTCTTCCCTTTATTCAAAGTCATCCGCCCCCCCCCCCCCCCCCCCGCTTACATTAAAAATACTTGAGGGCCCAGCATGGTGGTCTAGGTGGCTTAAAATTCTTGCCTTAAACACTCCGGGATCCCATATGGGCGCCGGTTCTAATCCCAGCAGCCCCACTTCCCATCCAGCTCCCTGCCTGTGGCCTGGGAAGGCAGTTGAGGATGGCCCAAAGCTTTGGGACCCTGCACCCGCGAGGGAGACCTGGAAGAGGCTCCTGGCTTCAGATCGGCATAGCATCGGCCATTGCGCTCACTTGGGGAGTGAATCATCGGAGGGAAGATCTTCCTCTCTGTCTCTCCTCTCTGTATATCCGCCTTTCCAATAAAAATAAAATAAATATTAAAAAAAAAGAAGTACATAAAGCCTGTTTGATTCCATTTCCATAAATTCTAATTAGATTTTTTTTCTTAAGATTTATTTATTTGAAAGGCAGACTTAGGATAGAGGAAACAGATCTTCCACCAACTGGTTCACTCCTCAAATGGCAACAATGGCCAAAGCTGGGCCGGGCCAAAGCCAGAAACTTTTTCCGCTTCTCTCTTGTGGATGCAAGAGCCAACCATCTGAGCCATCCTCCGTTGCTTTCGCAGGCACCTTCACAGCCGCTTTTGCAGGGGGCTGGACTGGAAACAGAGTCACCAGGACTCAAACCAGCTCCCATAAGGATGCTGGCACTGCAGTCAGTTGTGACATAGTGCTGGCCTCTAGTTAGAGTCTTTGAGTTTTTTTCTGTGGTCAGTTTAAGACATATAGAAAATAGGACTTTGGCTTTGGATCAGCTCAGCTCTGGTCATTGAAGCCACTTGGGAGTCAATCAGCTGACAGAAGATCATCCTCTCTGTCTCTCCTCTCTGCCTTTTCAATAAAAATAAGGAAAATCTTTTATAAAAAATTAGAACTTGTACTTTTTTCCACACTTTAGTAGTTATCAGTACATAGCCAATTTTGTATCCTCTATATCTTCCTTACTTCCATTTATTTGGAAGTACAGCTCATATATTTCATCTGTAAATACTGCAGTATGTGTGACTAAGAAAGACTGAAGCTAAAAACCAAGACCTTATTACACTCAATATCAACCTTCTAACTGATTGTTAATACTTCGTAATCTGATTTAGGTTTAAGTTGGCATTTTATTTGCCATTGTTTATATCCTTGAAGCGCTCTGAAATTAATCTTTCAAATCTAGTATGCTGTGGTTGGGGACCTCGTGTTTCCCAGCCCCCTGCGTTCATCGGCACTTACTGACATCGGGGGCTTCCACGTCTTCCTACTGTTGTTAATGCTAACATCATCTACGTGGTCTGTGAAAGGGCTCTCCGGGTTCATCTTCCAACTCGTCAGTGAGACCAAAATTATGGTGTTTCACTTTTGATGCCTTTGTTCAATATGAAAACTGAATAAATGTCTGAGTGCCTTCATCTTCAAATTTAAAGAATGATTCAGGTATATATTACTGAATTTTGCTACATTTTCCATTAGAATGGAAAGCTGTTCATACTTGATAGTAACAGCAAAAGTCACACAGGTCACACAGACGTAACAAAAGTTGCTCCAAGTGTTTTTCTGATGTTCTGTCTGACCTTGGTGTTTCTGCGTTACCTAGGTCCTCAACTGACGGAAGATGGCGAAGCCCAGCCACAGCAGCTACGTCCTGCAGCAGCTCAACAACCAGCGAGAGTGGGGCTTTCTCTGTGACTGTTGCATTGCAATCGATGACATTTACTTCCAGGCACACAAAGCCGTTCTCGCTGCCTGCAGCTCCTATTTTAGGATGTTTTTCATGAACCATCAGCATAGCACGGCACAGCTAAATCTCAGCAACATGAAAATTAGCGCCGAGTGTTTCGACCTCATTTTGCAGTTCATGTATTTGGGAAAAATCATGACAGCTCCGTCCAGTTTTGAGCAGTTTAAAGTGGCCATGAACTACCTACAACTGTACAATGTTCCCGACTGCCTAGAGGACATACAGGACGCAGACTGCTCTAGTTCAAAATGTTCATCTTCTGCATCCAGCAAACAGAACAGCAAAATGATATTTGGGGTGAGAATGTATGAAGATACTGTGGCTAGAAATGGCAACGAAGCCAACAGGTGGTGTGCAGAGCCAAGTTCAACAGTGAATACACCGCACCACAGAGAGCCTGATGAAGAATCTTTACAGTTAAATAATTTTCCTGAACCACTGTTTGATGTCTGCAAAAAAAGTTCCGTGTCCAAATTATCTACTCCGAAAGAACGGGTGTCACGCCGCTTTGGCCGGAGTTTCACCTGCGATAGCTGTGGGTTTGGCTTTAGCTGTGAAAAGTTACTAGATGAGCATGTGCTGACCTGTACCAACAGGCATTCCTACCAAAACACAAGATCTTACCACCGAATAGTAGATATTCGAGATGGGAAAGATGGTAACATCAAAGCTGAGTTTGGTGAAAAAGATTCTTCTAAGACGTTCTCCCCGCAAACAGACAAGTACAGAGGAGACACAAGCCAAGCTGCGGAGGACTCGACTTCCACCACTGAAAGCAGGAAAAGCAGCGCGGTGGAGTCTGAAGTGGCCAGCGAGGACAAAAGCAGGGCAGCCGAGAGGAAACGGATCATTATTAAGATGGAGCCAGAGGATATTCCCACGGATGAGCTCAAAGACTTTAACATTATCAAAGTGACTGACAAAGACGGCAATGAGTCCACTGACAACGACGAGCTGGAAGATGAGCCCGAAGAGCCCTTTTACAGGTACTATGTTGAAGAAGATGTAGGCATTAAGAGGAACAGCAGGAAGACCCTGAAGCCGCGCATGTCCGTCAGCGCCGACGAACGCAGGGGGCTGGAAAACATGAGGCCCCCGAACCACAGCAGCCCGGTCCAGGAGGACTCGGAAAACGCATCCTGCGAACTGTGTGGGCTCACGATAACGGAGGAGGACCTGTCCTCGCATTACTTAGCAAAGCACATTGAAAACATCTGTGCGTGCGGCAAGTGTGGACAGATACTTGTCAAGGGCAGACAGCTTCAGGAACACGCACAGAGATGCGGAGAACCCCAGGATCTGACAATGAATGGGTTAGGCAATCCTGAGGAAAAGATGGACATGGAAGAAAACCCGGATGAGCAGTCGGAGATGAGGGACATGTTTGTTGAAATGCTGGATGACTTTAGGGACAACCATTGCCAGATTAACAGTATCCAGAAAAAGCAGTTGTTTAAACATTCTACCTGTCCTTTCCGATGTCCTAACTGTGGCCAGCGTTTTGAAACGGAAAACCTAGTAGTGGAACATATGTCAAACTGCCTAGACCAGGATATGTTTAAGAGTGCCATCATGGAGGAGAACGAGAGAGACCACAGACGAAAGCATTTTTGTAATCTGTGTGGCAAGGGATTTTACCAGCGGTGCCACCTAAGAGAACACTATACTGTTCATACTAAGGAAAAACAGTTTGTGTGTCAGACATGTGGAAAGCAGTTTTTAAGAGAACGCCAGTTGCGCCTGCACAATGATATGCACAAGGGCATGGCCAGGTATGTCTGTTCCATTTGTGATCAAGGAAACTTCAGAAAACATGACCATGTACGGCATATGATTTCTCATTTATCTGCTGGTGAGACGATATGCCAGGTCTGCTTCCAGATATTCCCGAGTAATGAACAGTTGGAGCAGCACATGGATGTTCATCTGTATACATGTGGAATATGTGGAGCAAAATTTAATTTGAGGAAAGATATGAGATCACATTATAATGCCAAGCATTTGAAAAGAACCTAAGTGATTTTCTAATGTACTAATGTTTAGTTGCTAAGAGATACAACACCAAAGCAAAGGATATGAGCTATTTAGACATCAATTTAAGATGAATTGTTGGGAAAATTTTTTCAAGGCCCTTTTACCTTTAATATTTTTATTTAGGACCTTAAGTATCTACATGTTAGGTGTTTAATGTTTATCTTTTTTTTGTTGTTGTTTCTTAATAGAATTCTTTGTTTTTTTTTAGTTTTTCTTAGTTGTGATTACAATTACGTTTAAATGTAGATTGCTGGTTGTGACCCTTTCGGTGACTATTAAATTTTACTTTTTTTTTTAAATCAATAAAGTCATGACATCACTATTTTTATTTTTATTTGTTAAGGTTATCCTGTGAAATTTTAAACCCAACATCATTGGCCCTTCCTGCTCAAATTTTTTTTTTTAAGAAAAGTTTTTAAGTAATTAATTTTTTGAAACTATCGTGTTTGTTTTTAGGAGTTTTTTTTTCTGGTCAGTTGAACAGTGAGTTAACTACTTTTTATTCTCCCTTATTATCAGTGAAATTCATATTCTTCAATTGACAAGCTCATTGGGCAAGTTAGGTGCAATGACTCTCACCTGTGAGGTTGACATGGGCTCAGACTTGGCCTAAAAAGAGGAATGGACCTGAGGAAGTTCCTATAAATGAATATTTCCTATAATTGATAAAATATTATCATTTAATAATCAGATTTAAAACTTATATTAAGTGTAAATCCTAATGACTTTCCCCCTCATGAGAGGTTAGTGGGGAGAAGCCATTTTGTTTTGTGATGGTAAATTTAACTATGATAGTTAATTAAAAAGACATATCTTGTATTCACTAAAGATATCTTAATTTAAAATATTCTGATTTCTAAAGTGTGTTAGTTTATCAGTTATTTTTGTTTATAAATAGACTTTACTAGCTCTCTAGGACATCTAAAGAAAAATGATTTTTCACCTTTAAAATTACATACTTTTGGAACTTTGAGATTTGAGAAAGCTGCCATGTATATTAATAAATATAATAAAATAAAGAAATTATAAATCTGGTTGTTCTATAAAAGTAGAGTGCACAAAAAATGTCTTGTGTTTTATACTATCTAACGTTTGGGGGAAATGTGTTAACAGCAAATTACAGTTTATCACCATGCCTTTTTTTTGCTTTGTTTTGTTTTGTTTTCTGTAAAGGATCACAAAATTTGAGGACCATAAATTAATCACAGAGCATATAAATGGAAAAAGAAGAGTGTCATATTTCAGCTAAAGTGTTGTTAGTTGTTGTTGACACAGTGTCCATATCAATAACATGTGGATTAAAGCACTGGCACAGCTGACCCACCGACAGACACATCTATTGAGTAGAATGACTTTGAAGTGAATGACTTCTCGTAATAAACAGGGGTTTTTATTAACTCATATTAAAGATATTAATTTTGTGATTATAAACAGTAATTTAATGACATTGTTCTTTTTGTTTGCATTAGATCTTTAAAAGATATATCATATTTTTGTATACCCTTTGCATTAAAGAACGGATTTCCAAGGAAATTGAGAGAGATTGGCTCATACCTATTTAACTCAAAATATGAGAACACGTGTGAGCCCACAGGTTGGTGTTAACTAAGGGTAGGAATAGCATGGGATCCAGTGCAGAAGTAAAGCAGAATAATGGTAGGTAGAGAAAGGGAGACACAGAGCCGTGGGAGTAACACCAGGGACACATTTCACCTGTCTTGGATAGGATTGCTTATCAAGTAATGAAATCTGAAATGCAGCTTGACAGCCGTATGCAGGCATACCTTTCTGCTGGGAACATGTGGAACAAAAGGTCTCCAACCCCCTGACCCTCCTGAGATCAGTAGAAAGAGTTACTACATGTTGTCTTGGACACAATTTTGGCAGAGGATCACTTTTTCCATAACCCTCATCAAAATTTAGCTTTCGTACCATGGCAGAACGGGACTTAAGAAAGGATTGTCCACACTGCTAAGAAAGGGGGCTTAGCTCGACGTTTAGACATGTACTCACGGCCAGTGGTTAGCAAGAAGACATGTAAATTTGAAGTTCCATGACTGAAATATTTCTATTTTCACCAAGCCCCACCTCACCATGTTTTCTCCCAGGTTCCCGATGTACCACATCCCCGTTTGTTCTGGAACTGGCTGAGGGTTGGGGGCTAGAAGCTCAGGTGCTGTAGTGTGTACCAGTTTTCCTTTAAGTCGCCCTGCGAATCGGAGGCTTGAGAACACGCAGCATCCCTGCAGCCCAGCTCCCTATGTCTGCGCCTCCTTCCCAGCTGCCCCCTACCTGCAGGGACATCCCTGCAGTGCTTCCGGGCTCAGGGCTGTCGTTCCTCCTGCCTCTGGAACCGCAAACTGAAGGATGCAGAGCGGGGTAGATGGAATGGAATCTTGTCCCTCTTTCTGTCTCACTTGATCCGAGGCTGTTTGGTTCTAAACAGAAAGGAAGCTTGGGGAAGTTAGTGACTCACAGGCTTGCCTCTAGTGACGCTGCCACTTGGGTATTCTGCCATGATTTAGTACGCAGGACTGAGAAACTCAGAAATTAATAAAGCAAGGATTAGGACTCCAATTAGTCTCTCTCATCGTTTTAAAGTAAGAAACATCACTGAAGTGACCCATGTGAGTAAAATGGCGTATGCCTAACGTTGGTTATGTATGCAGATTAACAGTTGGCAGATGAAAAGTAGAATAAGGATTCCGGAGGTGCTAGTTACAAAAATAAGAGAACTAAAATGAGGTCAGAGCTAGCTTAGGGCAGTCAGAACATTAATTAATAGGAAAAATAATAGACATGAAAAAAGCATGTTTTACTGTAGTTAAAAATTATGAGCGAGGTACAAATTAAAATCAGACATTTTGAAAATTATAGGTGAAATGAATAAGGATTCAAATAATTTGGCTAGATTAGAATCATTCTGGTATACTTATAGAATGCCTAATGCGGCAGTTGTTGCAAACAGGCCAAGGGTAGCTCTTACTGCTGTATATACCCTAATATTCTCAAAAAGTGGGAGAAGAGAATGGTGATGGTTGGCAGCTTTCCCCCGATTAAAGAATACTCCTGTGTCACCAATTTAAAAACTTCCATATATATTTTTAAAGATTTATTTTATTTTTATTGGAGAGGCAGATATACAGAGGAAGAGAGACAGAGAGGAAGATCTTCCGTCCGATGGTTCACTCCCCAAGCGGCCGCAACAGCTGCAGCTGAGACGATCCAAAGCCAGGAACCAGGAGCTTCTTCCAGGTCTCCCAAGCAGGTGCAGGGTCCCAAGGCTTTGGACCGTCCTGGACTGCTTTCCCAGGTCACAGGCAGGGAGCTAGATGGAAAGTGGAACTGCCGGGACTAGAACTGGTGCCCATATGGTATCTCGGCACGTTTAAGGCGAGCACTTTAGCCACTATGCTATTGTGCCAGGCCCGAACCTCCATATTTTAATAGTGCTCTGAAAAATCTCCCCAAGAACTGGGAGAACAATTCAGATATTTAAATTGTAAGACTTGTCACTGTTAACAAAGATCTAAATCAATACCAAAAGAAACTTATATGTGTATGTATACACTGTTGAGAATAAATTTTGATATGCCTAATTTTAACTTTTTATCACAAGTTAAATTTTTTTACCATTTGATTTACTTTGATTAGTTCCTCAACTTTCTTCACCTGCACTCTTTTATAACAGACACTTCTTAGGAATTAACCCTTAAGGCCCCACAGTACCTTCCTTTGTCCAGCATCAAGGACTTCTAGGGTACCAAAAAACTCCAGGGGAACAAATGCTTGTCGCATCCCACCCGCATCCTTGCAATCTGTGGAGCAGTAAGCAGGAGTGGACAGGAGCAAGGCTAGGAAGCTGATGCGTGTATATTTAGTGTTAGGAAATCTGTGATGGTACAGTATCCGGGCTCAGCAATCCCGACACGTGTTTAGTTAACACCCCGTGCTGCCAAGTGCTTACGTACATACTTTTGAACTAGTCCTCACAGCCTTTGAGGTAAGTGTGGTACTGTCTTTACAGATGGGGAATGGTGGTTTAGATGAACTTTCCTAAAGTCACACAAGCCATGTACATACTGGAGAGCTGATATTTAAACCTAGGCCTCTGCCTTCCACCTTCCTGGACTTAGTCACTAAGTTATATGCTCCACCCACCTACAAATACAAAAAGGGCCCTTTCAGCCTCAGAACACGCGTGGCAAAGCTAGGAGGCTGTGCTCCTTGGTCATCTGTCATCTGTGCTGGTCAAGTAGCTGGTAATAGTGGATCCCGAAGGAACACGTTGAGTAATGTGAAAGTATTTGAGTGGAAAACAAAACTTACTTGAATGAGTCGTTCAGAATGATATTTCAGAAATAAATATTAACGTTGATAAATGTTTTGATTTTCCTTCTTTTAAACTTAAAAACATTTAGTGGTGGTATTGTCAACCCTTCTCCCCACCCACAGTAAATAATTCAAAAATAACTTGAGTTCCACTTCCACATTTCTGTGCCTGTGACCTTTTCTCTTTATTTTCCCCATTCCTGTCTTATGTTTTAACCTATCACGCCAATTTTCATTTCTTCTTTCTTTTCCTTTTCTTGGTTATGAAAGTGATGAGGGACTCATCATTTAAAAATAAATATTCCCAAGGAAGAGCAGGATGACCAGGGATGGGAAGTCCTGCCCACAAGCCATATAAAGGCCAGTAAAGTCATTTGGTCTGGATATGCCAGACAGCAGGACTCAAAATGCAGTAAGTTTACACAGGCTCATCTTTAGGTTGGCCTGCAAATGATGTTATAAACATTCGAATGGCCCTGGAGAATAAAGGCTCCACACACACACTTAACAGAATATTTGGATAAGAAAGTCATCATTTGGGGGGCCAGTAAACAAAATGGTGAACTGTGAGTGAATCACCAGTGAATGATTTGATTACTGAGTGGTGAGTTTGCTTAAAAATTAATTAATCCATTTATAATTTATGAAAATACAGACTTTTAGGGTAAACTTACCAAGTCAACTCACTCAAAAGGACATGATAGTTATGTAATCATCCCAAGCAGTGAATTGGCAAAAAAACAAAAAGGTGTTTTAAGTGCAACAACTCTTTCCACAATCGAATGTGACTTGAATTGGGGTAACCGTTGATGCCACCTACCATGCCCAACCACTGCTTTAGTTAGCGTCAAATGTTATTTTCATGGGAAAGTAGAAAAATGAGGTAAGAGATTTCATGGACAATGGCTATATGATCTTTTGAGTGGCCCACTTTCACTGCTTTCTGTCAAAGTCAAGGAAATATTCTTCTGTAAAACTAAAGGAAATTTAGCAATTTACACACTCATATGCTAGCAAGAGATAACCAAAAAAGCATTGGTTATATTCAGGAGAATCAACTCACTAAGGTCAATCAGTAGTAACAATTGTTCATCCTTTCTATTAAATTCACCACAGATCACTATTTCTCATTACCTACTTGTATTGGCAACTGAAAAAAATGGTATGATGATTGCAATTAATCGATGTACTAATTAAGAAACAAGAGGAAAGCCTGGGGCCAAAAACAGACACATTGAGAAGACATTTTGAGAAAAACTGAATAATTCTCTGAATTTAACTACATGAGACAGGAATACAACGACATATACAGCCTATAACCTCCCACGTAAACTATATTTTAAGAATTACTATTTTGTTTCTGTTTTATTTGAACCAATTGCTTATATCAGAATCAGCAGAGCTTTTTTTTTTTCAGACAGAAACTTAAGTGCCCAGATTATGAAAGCCATCTTCAAAAAAAAAATTTTTTTTATGGAAAGTCAGATATGCAGAGAGGAGGAGAGACAGAGAGGAAGATCTTCCATCTCATGGTTCACTCCCCAAGTGGCCGCAACAGTCGGAGCTGTGCCAATCCGAAGCCAGGAGCCCAGAGCTCTTCTGGGTCTCCTATGCAGGTGCAGGGTCCTAAGGCTTTGGGCCTCCTCTACTGCTTTCCTAGGCCACAGGCAGGGAGCTGGATGGGAAGCAGGGCTGCTGGGATTAGAACCAGGCACGTGCAAGGCTTGGGACTTCAGCCACTAGACTACCGTGCTGGGCCTGAAAGCCAGTTTTTCTTTCAAATACTTACATTCTTGATGTGATAATATTTTCTTAAATTTAGCCTCAGTTACAGAAATTCCAGTCCTACCCAGTGCTCTGGAGTGTTCTGAACCCAGGAATAAGGAAAAACACCTTTCTCTGTGTATATATGCTTCATTTTAATTTGCCAAGAGTACAACACTCAGGATTTAAAGAAAGCAATGTTTGTGTGATAAGTAAGGATATTTAGTAAAAATATGAACTCTGAAATCATTAGGCCTGTGTTGCAGAGATTTCCATTGACAAAGTACAGTGTAAAATTATTTGAAGAAAAATATATGTCAACTGCTTCCTTCCTCCCTACTGTCCTCTGCTTGCCTGTCTGTGTATGTTATACATTTATGTGCCCTACCCATTCCAGTTCAGGCCATGCAAACCCAAAAGTTAAAGGTACCTGTGGAGCTGGGGAATTATAGCAGTAATGAAAACACCTTGGAAGGTACAGTGAGTTATGTTACAGAAGTAAGTACATCGCAGGTCCTGTGCTTTTGTTTCCATTTTCTGGTTAATAGTGTGCTGGCATGGCACCTTTTAAAAGTCAAGAAATTCTGACCTAAGAATAATGTATCTTGTAGAGCAGACAACTTGTAATATTATTTTTCTTGAGTTTTGTCTTTTTCTGTGTGGCAGTGGTGACATAGGGCCTTCTAAACCTCTGGAGAAGTGAGAGATCTGAATTTGGAGAGGACATGGGGAAGCATCAATCTTCAACAGATAATCTTTAAGTGCAGACCCAGGAGTAGCAGATCTGAAGTGGCACCATCTTTTGTGTCTTCCTGACAAACTTCATCAACCCCTAAAGTTCCAGTGGCAAAGATCCAAGAGAACCCAGTAAACAGCACTTGGGAATCACTTTGTTGTAACAAAATTGATTCATAGTGACTCTCCTAGTATTTGTGGAAAATCTACTAAAGAAAAGTTCACCATCAAAATCATGTGACATCAGTGGTCAAAGCTACGTTAAAATGAAACTGTATATGCTAATTATCTTCAAGCGTCCCTTGTAAAATAAAAGGGCTTGCTAGGCTGCTGTAAATACATTATAAAGAGAATCATACTTATATAAACATACATAATCCTAAACCAGAATTATAGCTTATGTGCTATGGAATGTAGTTAGGCAATTTTAAAGGTTACACCCAAAAATCTGCAGTTGAGAGTGCAAGTAAAATCGGTAACAGAAAAAAGGTGAAGACCAATATTTTAACAAGAGCATCTGGTTGTTACTCATTGTAATTCTTCCTACCTCACTTTAAATTACCAGTCACATACTTGTTATTAATTGTATTAATGAAGCTCCCTGTTAAGTATGTTCATTTGAAGAAAAGAATATCACTTCAATACTACTAGATTTCCACAAATCAGATGTATTACTAATGTAAAATGGCAGAATTAATTTTTGTTATGCATTCTCAGAATTCATGTATACTGCTACGTTTCTCGGCTTTCAAATTTCAAAATAAAGTTAGAGTAAGTATTGAATGAAGTGATGCTTAAAATGTTCTCAGAACTTTCACAGTAGTCTTGGTGAGACTTAGTAACCTAAGTGCAAACGTTTTCCAAATAGATATATATGCACATACACAATATTTCTCAAACATATGGATCTCATAACCATATTATTTTATTGTGATACTTGTAGTTTTGCCTTTGACTATGTACTCAATTCCTTATGACGCTTATTGTGTAATAGTAAGATGTTACATCCTTTCAGAAATGTTTGTTTTTTATGCCTAGTTTTTCTAATGCTGTAAGAAGTTACATAAAGAGATCTAACTTGAAGCATACTAAACATTATATGCAGAATTTGCCGTTTAAACCGTTTAAAAACTCTAGCTGTAAAGTAGAATGGCAGCTTGAATTTGCATTCTAATAGTTAGACCTACATCCGAAAGATGAGTTCCAATGCGCTGTGTACAGGGGGACAAGGGAGAAACTCCGGAAGAGTTCAAATACATATGAATTCAGCTGCTTTAGACAAAAATAAGTCGAGAAGTAAAAGTCTAAAAAACACTAGATTTAATTTTGTTTGGAAACATGAGCTTTAAAGAATAGCAGGTTTCTGAAAATAAATAGGAGGAAAGATAAGAGAATCTTAACCACGGTGCCAGACAAATACAGGAATGATGACTCAACAGAAAACATTTTTGATTGATGGAATTAGACTTATTTTCTAAAAGATGGCCTAAATTCTGACTGTACTAATTACAAATGTAATGGGTTATAATTATAAATTATATAATTCATTTTTATAATGTGATTATTTTCTGTATGTTAGAAAAGGAAATACCTGGATTGCATTTGTTACATTTTTCAACCACTGTTTTTAACTAATAAAATTTCCCCCTCTGTGTTCAGAAGTTAAGCTGTCTGCATATCGCTGTTATTTATGCCATTTTTTTCCAACCTGGCTCTTTTAAAATACAATCTAAAAAACTGTCAATCCTTGCCAGCCTCTGATGCTGTAATGACAAAGTACCTGAGATAGTTTATTGTGATGTTTGTAACCTAGAGAGGGCACCAAGCTCCTGGCTAAAAGTCTTGTCAACCTTAACATTTCTCGGAACACCACAGAAAGACTGCCAGAGTATTATCTCCCAGCAAACACAGGTGGCAACAAAAGAATACTTATAAAGATGCATTTATAAAGTGCTTTAGCTCTTTCAGGAGCTAAATTCATGTTTCAAAATGACACAGTTTTCTATCCAGAGACATAACTTATTTGCCAGTCTAATCATGCTGCAAGGTATGAACAGCACTGGCCTGTGGCGTCTGCAGGCTCAGGACGGCTTGCTTTCTCCAAGTAACCTCAGACACTACAGGGGCTCTCGTGAAAGCTGGCACCCCAGCGGAAGTGGGCAGTTTGTCTACAGTCCTTACGGCATCCCTTCCTCTCGGGCAGGTCTCCTAGCATTCCCCACCCTGTGTGGCAGTTTTCTGCCCCAGCCTACCTTATGCAACTGCAGTATAACTTAAAGAATGAGGATTATGAAGACTCAGAAGAAGCAAAGAGTGACGTCTTTTCCTGTAGTGACAGGTGATTGGAGAATTATTTTTAGGACAGGACACTTTGAAAGAAGTATAAAATGGCAATATTTACAGACACTTTAAATACTAGTTCAATTCAAGTTTGTTCAAAGGTCCTCGAATGACAGGCTGTCACTCAGTCTTCAGTGGGTGACATTACCCTCCATTAGCAATCCACACCCTTTCTGGAGGTTGTGCCTGTGGAGGGATTGAAATCTTTCCAGGCAAACAGAAAAGGTCTCCTCCCCCCCCCCCAAACACGTGATTTCTGCCAACATTTGTTCTTGCTGAGTCGGCCTCTTCAGGGCACTTGGTTTAGACCCCTGAGCTTAGGAATGACTGGTTCCGGGGGTATCCCCAGTGCTGGGGGCTGGTTAGAGGGTTTGACTGACATGAGAGTTCTTGTTGAGGCCAGCATTTCATCTACGTGGAACCCGTTAGTCTTTCGGTTTTAAATATATTTTGAAACACCCTAGCATAATCTGTCAGACATTTTGCATGTTGAAAGCCAATAGTAATTTCTATGTAAGTAGTAGGATTAGTGGACTTGGTTTCAGCTGAATGTTTATAATCCAGTCTAAAAACTCATTCCTAGAGTACAATAAGCAAACTTAAACAATGCTGATAATCCTGTTATCCAGAGTTAATCCATTCTAATGGATTTTTTTCTTATATTGTAGTGCATTCTAAATGTATTAATTATATCAAGAATATTTTCCTGTCATGAAAACTTTGTATATTCACCTTTATAAGTGAATAATTATTCACCATATCTATGTACTTTAATTTATGTAACCGTTTTCTTGTCTGATCTATAAGCCATTTTTTAATTATTGTTAACATAAATAATGCTGCCTGTATTTTCTGTTACTTCCTTAGGATGAATGCTACAAATACTAAATGAAAGGTTTGATTATCTTTAATGAAGAACTGTTGTCATATTGCCTCCAGAAAGACTGTCATGCTTCACACTCCCATGGTACTGTTAACGCATCCCCGATGATATGGATGTTATTTGATTATGCATTTGCTGGTGTAATCATTTGTAACAGATCAGAATTCTGAGCCACAGTCATCAAAGAAAAATGATTAAAATCAATTCAAATAAGAAAAATGTATAAACGCAACGTCTGATTAGTATATGCTGCTATTTTATAACTGCAAAGGCTTCTTTCACATAAAAATCCAAATGCAAATACTGTGTCTTTAAGAGAAAGAAATCAGGATGCCATGTGAAGTATGAAACTTGAATTTACAAAAAGGGGGAAAGTCAGAGCAGCAAGTGTGTGAGCTATATTAGTGCGATGGTTTCAGCAAGCTGACCTAAAGACCAACCTGTTGGTTAGATTGCAACATTTCTGAGAACCGTGCGCGGAGGTAGGACTGAGTTATGCAAAAGAACCTCTCCCTCCAGAAGTTCTAATTTTAGTGTTTGTGTGCAAGAAGTCTAGCCTGCTTGCCTTGCTTGCTGTCTTGCTTTGCTTGAAGCCGGTGTGTGAGGCTGACGGAATACAGGGGAACCCAACAGTCTGTGTCTCTCAGCTCTTGCAGTTCTAGCCGACTGTCTCTAAGTCACAGCCTATCATCGGTTCATCACAGAGCATTTGTAGTGCCCCCCGACCCCCTGATCCTCTTTTCTCCATAAAACACAGAACCTATATAAAGACAGCAATTTTAACAAACAAAACTAGAAATTACATAACCTGATTTAAAAAAAAAAGAACAAGACTTGTATTGAGGGACTTCTGAGAATTTTGTCAACGTTACCACTTTGGGGGGAGGGTGGGATGAGTTCCTCCCACCCCAACCCCACCACCCACCCCTGCCGATGCGCAAGGAAAATGCCGAGACACCAAAGCTCTTTACCGCATCCCGTCCCGCCCCACCCCCGCTCATCCTAAGGGGAACTCGCCCGTCCCTCCCGCACACACGGCTCCCATCTCGGTGCCTCCCCTTCATGCTGACCCAAGCCCCCGCTGCCAGGAAGCCCTCACTCACTCTCCTGGGGACCACCGAGTTAGTCCTTTTACTCCTGGACCACCGTAGGCCTCCCCCACTCCCGCCCTTGCCCCGAAACGGTGAAAATTATTGCTGTGCTCCAAGTTACTTTCGGAGTGAAGGGATCGCGCTTTCATTTACTTTCCCTCACAGAGTTTATGTCTCTAGTGCCAACGGCAGCACAAACTAAAGAAAATAACCTGCTTCAAGTGGAGCTAGGTCCTAGAAGCGATCCACGGACACAGCCGGCCGCGCGGGCCCACGTCGCGCGGGGTGCGAGCTGGCTCTCAGGGGGAGCGGCAACGGGCGCGGTTCGCGAACGTGAAGACCTCCAAGAGGCGGATAAAGCGCTTGAAATCGGCCAATAAGGGAACAAGTGGGGAGCTTGCTAGGAGAGGAAACCACCCAAGTTAAAAGTGGTAGGGCCGCGGGGGCTGGGGGTGGGGGAGCCGCCGCCCTTGCCATCCCCCGCGGCTGGGCCGCCGTGCCACCCGCGGAACGGCTGCCCTCTCGCACTTCTCTCGGGGCACTCCCCTCGAGGGGCAGCCCGCCTCACGATCCTCCTTTTTCGCTTTTCGACCCCCCGCCCAAGGGAGCCGTCCTGCCGGCTCAGCCAAGCCAACTCCGTGGTCCCTCAGGGCGCCATCCCGGCCGCGTTTCCTCAGTGCCACCAGCTCACAAGGATTTCCTCGGTCCCTGTGGGCTGAGCTTGGTCGGGACACCTAGCACTGTACTGCTCAGGAGACTCTCTCGGCACCCATTTTCCGTGCCACCATCTCCTCCTCCCTCCCGCACCACGCCCCTCACCCCCCTCACCCCCCGCCCCGCTTCCCCACGCCCTTCCTGAGCCCCCACCCCCTTTGGGAGTCTGCGCTTCTCATTGGCCGCCTGCCCTGCCAATCGGGCAGACGTAGACAAATGCCGGCCTCAGGAGAGGGCAGAGGCCCGCCCGGCCCGGGGAGCGCGAGCCTAACGCCCCTGGCAGAGCAGCAGGCGGCGCGCGAGGCGCGGCAGCCCCGGCGCCGGGCTCATTTACATAACGGCCGCCCCGCTGGGCTCCGGGGCGCCGGCGGGAGAGCCGCCCGTCAGCCGACTGGAGACCAGTTGGGCCCCGGGCCGGTCACTCGGAGCCAGGCAAGCCTGTGGCGAGGCTGCGAGAGCTGTGTGCGGGCGGTTCCGGGAGCCGATTGGCTCTGGGAGCCCCCCCGACGCGGGCGGCCCGGGAGACGGGAGGCTATAAGAGTCGGGGGGCAGCGGGGCCCGGGGAGGCGGGAGACGCTGGTGGCCACGCTCGCGGTGCCAGGTGACCGTTAGTCGAGGCAGGCTCTGTCGTCTGTCGCTTATTCTAACGTCGCTCGCCTGTCTTTGCAGTCAAGGATGTCTGCCCGCGGCCCGGCCATCGGCATCGACCTGGGCACCACCTACTCGTGCGTGGGGGTCTTCCAACATGGCAAAGTGGAGATCATCGCCAACGACCAGGGCAACCGCACCACGCCCAGCTACGTGGCCTTCACCGACACGGAGCGCCTCATCGGCGACGCGGCCAAGAACCAAGTGGCCATGAACCCCACCAACACCATCTTCGACGCCAAGAGGCTGATCGGACGCAAGTTCGAGGACGCCACGGTGCAGTCGGACATGAAGCACTGGCCGTTCCGCGTGGTGAGCGAGGGAGGCAAGCCCAAGGTGCAGGTGGAGTACAAGGGCGAGATGAAGACCTTCTTCCCGGAAGAGATCTCCTCCATGGTGCTCACCAAGATGAAGGAGATCGCTGAAGCCTACCTGGGGGGCAAGGTGCAGAGCGCCGTCATCACGGTCCCGGCTTATTTCAACGACTCGCAGCGCCAGGCCACCAAGGACGCGGGCACCATCACGGGCCTCAACGTGCTCCGCATCATCAACGAGCCCACGGCGGCGGCCATCGCCTACGGCCTGGACAAGAAGGGCTGCGCGGGCGGCGAGAAGAACGTGCTCATCTTCGACCTGGGCGGCGGCACCTTCGACGTGTCCATCCTGACCATCGAGGACGGCATCTTCGAGGTGAAGTCCACGGCCGGAGACACGCACCTGGGCGGCGAGGACTTCGACAACCGCATGGTGAGTCACCTGGCGGAGGAGTTCAAGCGCAAGCACAAGAAGGACATCGGGCCCAACAAGCGCGCCGTGCGCCGGCTGCGCACCGCCTGCGAGCGCGCCAAGCGCACCCTGAGCTCGTCCACGCAGGCCAGCATCGAGATCGACTCGCTCTACGAGGGGGTGGACTTCTACACGTCCATCACCCGCGCCCGCTTCGAGGAGCTCAACGCCGACCTGTTCCGCGGGACGCTGGAGCCCGTGGAGAAGGCGCTGCGCGACGCCAAGCTGGACAAGGGCCAGATTCAGGAGATCGTGCTGGTGGGCGGCTCCACGCGCATCCCCAAGATCCAGAAGCTGCTGCAGGATTTCTTCAACGGCAAGGAGCTGAACAAGAGCATCAACCCCGACGAGGCGGTGGCCTACGGCGCCGCCGTGCAGGCGGCCATCCTCATCGGGGACAAGTCGGAGAACGTGCAGGACCTGCTGCTGCTGGACGTGACCCCGCTGTCGCTGGGCATCGAGACGGCAGGTGGGGTCATGACCCCACTCATCAAGAGGAACACCACGATTCCAACCAAGCAGACGCAGACGTTCACCACCTACTCGGACAATCAGAGCAGCGTGCTGGTGCAGGTGTACGAGGGCGAACGGGCCATGACCAAGGACAACAACCTGCTGGGCAAGTTCGACCTGACCGGGATCCCCCCGGCGCCCCGCGGGGTCCCCCAGATCGAGGTCACCTTCGACATCGACGCCAACGGTATTCTCAACGTCACCGCCGCCGACAAGAGCACCGGGAAGGAAAACAAGATCACCATCACCAACGACAAGGGTCGTCTGAGCAAGGACGACATCGACCGCATGGTGCAGGAGGCGGAGCGGTACAAGTCGGAAGACGAGGCGAATCGCGACCGGGTCGCGGCCAAGAACGCCGTGGAGTCCTACACCTACAACATGAAGCAGACGGTGGAAGACGAGAAACTGAGGGGCAAGATCAGCGAGCAGGACAAAAACAAGATCCTCGACAAGTGTCAGGAGGTCATCAGCTGGCTCGACCGGAACCAGATGGCAGAGAAGGACGAATACGAACACAAGCAGAAGGAGCTGGAGAGAGTCTGCAACCCCATCATCAGCAAACTTTACCAAGGCGGCCCTGGCGGCGGCTCCGGCGGCTCCGGGGGCCCCACCATCGAGGAAGTGGACTAAGCCGGCACCCGTAAAGCTCTTTTCCTTTCTTTCTTTCTTTCCTTTTTGTTTTTGTTTCTCCATTGAAATCCTCCGTGCCAAGCAGGAGCTGCGGTGATGGAAGTCTGCATATGAAAGGAAAGGTGCAACAAGTTGGTTTATTTATAAAAGGTTAATTCTAAAGTTTGGTTTTAAAAAAGCATTTTTTTGACGATTCTCTTGAACACAGCTTGTGTTTGCTGACAAGATTATTTTTAATTAACTTAGTTTGTGCGTGGAGACGAGGCGGGGGGGGAGCTGAAGTTTGCACCCCTGCCCTGTGCAAGCTTGATAACAATGAGATATATAGACGCTTCAATTGTTTATTTTTATGCACAACTTTAAAGTGAACATACCAGTAATTTTAGGGACAGGTATACTTTTTGCAAGTAAATGCAAATTTAATGCTGTAATTGATCTCAAAGTCATTGTCTTGTTGGAATTTTCAGTTTTTCCTCCTTCCCATGCTTGACCCATATTGGTCTTTAAAAGATATTAAAGTGATATGAACTTGATATAACCCAATCTTGTCTAATTCTCAGATAAGGTGCCTGCCTTGAATTTCCAACTTAAGCAGAAAAGAATCGGGGTGAACTTTTTTTCTTTCCCCTTTTAGTACCGAAAGCTGACTGGGGTCTTTTAGTGTACCCTAGACTCCTAAGACTTGGCAAAAGGGTCAAGTGAAAATCCTCCTGAATATCACAGGAAAATATGACCGTGTTCCGCGGTAGGATGCTGCAAGCCCGGGACACGCCTTTTCTCCTGAACAGCCAAAGGTAGTGTGGAGACCAGCTGCTTTTCCTGAACACCCCCCTTCCCCCGCCACCAGCCTGCAGGCCGACTAAGCAGCTTGATCCTGAGAGGCCAAGTTTAATCAAACTCAGCTTGTCTTTTTCTAGTAGGCTCAGCTTGGGAGCTTATGGCAACTTCTTAAGAACTTGTCCTTTTTGGGAGGTAGGGGAAAGTGGTGGAGTGGGATTTCATAGAAGCGTGTGGGAATTTGCATCACTCAGTTCTGCTTTTCCAGTTTACACATCTTGTGTCAGGTTTTTGTTTGTTTTTGTTTTGTTTTTCCGATTTAAAGAGCACAATGCTTTTGCAACACCTGCCTTAAATCACTATACTTTCTTTTTTAAATGGCAAAGTACAACATTCCGTGATAGTTTGCTAATATATAACTTGCCACAACCACGTTCCTGTATATCCAGTTGTTACAGATTGTAATCCTTTGGAGATCCAGTATCCTAGGCTTAAGCTTGCAAATTTGTATCCTTGGGAGAAATTGCACTTTTTTTCTTTTTCTTTTTTTTTTTTTTAGTAGGATGACACTTCATTTTGTTTTACTGTCCTTGAGGGGAAACTTGGAAGAAATTCAGCAAAACTGCCTGGAAAATGCAAAGCTATCCTAATATTTTAACTGCACATAGGCATTTTGATTCCTCTCTCCAAGCATTTGCTTCTAACAGTGAATTACAGGAGCTATACTTTAAGTTCAGTGATGGATGCCTCTGTGTCACACACAGATTATCAGTAATAACTCAAAAACCAGAGCACAACGTAGCCTAACCATGCTGGACTTGGGTAGTGATTCTGTCATGTAAGACTTGAGTCGTGTGGACATAATCCTTCCTTAAGCCTCACTTGGCTGGGGGAAGAGAGGCAAATAGACGATTGTGAAGTTGCTTTGAAAGGATATTGCCAGGGCTAGTGTCACACTGGAAAGTACTCGCAGCACTGCAGGTGTTTTCATTCGCAATAGATGGGCAGCACACAAACCTCAGTGCATTACACCTTCATTTTCAGTTGTTTTGAAAAGTAATGTGCAAAACTGGCCCTCTTGAATGTCTTTAAATTATGTCTTCTCAAATGTATGACCTACATTTGAATATATTACTAAGATAAGCCCGCCTAAGTAGCCAGTCTGTTTCCAGGAGTCAGTTGACGCTGGCAACCTGATCACTCCTGCCAGCCCCTTACTAGATGTTAGATTAGCCCTAGTCAAATAACAGTGGAAAAAGTCCTTGATAGCAGGACCGGCTGAATTACATCCTAGGGAATAATTAGCATCGTTTGAACTTGAAAGTAGTGAGACTATGCTAAGGTGTAGTCTTTATGACTAAAACAAAGGCAATGGGTTTGGAATGCCAAGTAATAGAAAAAGCACATTTCCCAGACACCAGAGTAGCTCATCAACAGTTGTCCCTATTTGGAGGTAATACATCTGACACCTGTCATGATGAGATGGGATAAAATTGTTCACTATATTGAGATGTGTGAAATTTCAAAACAGGTACATTTTACACATATATGTAACATAAATACATTAAAGCCTGTACGTTAGGAGATGTTATGCTGTATACATGTTTAAATTCCACTTCTGTGGTAGGATATTTACTATATCATCAGTGTGTCAGGGAGCCCTAAGAGTTAGTTTACTTCAGGTATAATATAGAAATACAACCTTGCAATCTGGATGAAACCAGATCTCATTTTATGAAGCCTCATAGTAGGCCTGTAAGCCATCCCTGCTACAGGTAGGAATGCAGTTTATGGAAAAGCTGTATTATGAGGCATGTTGTTCTTTCTCTTGAACACTGGAATTTAAAGCTTAAAAAAAAAATATCACATCCATATGGAACCCTTCAAAAAGCTGGTGGGAAAATGGAATTATAACATTTCATGTTGGTTCAAAAAATTCCTTTTCATAATGAACATTTTCCATGAAGTTTTTAAAAAAAAAACCTGGTATGTCTCTAGGAGACAGCTGCTAAAATAATACACGTGTTTGGACTAAGAAGCAAGATTATTCAATTGCTTCCATGTACTTAATGTATAAATGGCGATATGTAAACTGTTTAGGATGAGAAAGGAGATACATAATTTAATTTCATTCAGCAAAGATAAATGACAGATCTTAAGGGAAAGACCCCTGTGTTTATTCTTGAGACACCTCTTGGAGTGGGAAATATGTCGGGGTAGATGCATGTCTGAAATTTGATTGGAGTGATATTTATTGTTGAAATGCTCCCTTAGAACAAATCAACAACTCACAGACCAATTCCTCTACCCCTCTGGGCGATGAGGTGGGTTGTGAGTTGAAGGTTAGCAAAACAAGCAACCTAGAGTTAACTGGTTCAGAATCTGCCACTGCTATTTTCTGTTCTGAAAAAAATTCATTCTTGTGAGGTGGAATTACAACACTAAGAAAATCTGCCCATAGTTTAAAGCATACATGGTTTTTAGCTAAAAGTCTTGGGCCTGAAATCTGAAACCAGCAGCTTAGTTCTTCATGTTCTTAGCTGTGTGACCTTGAGGAGTTTCTCTAAATTAGGCAAGAAAATTTTCCCTCACCGAGATACTTAGGATTCCTCAGTATTTAAAAGGCAGTATCATGTTACCTTACTGTATGACATGAATTGCTTTTTTGTTTTGAAAAGGAAAAATTGTAATACACTGCAGGTTGTGAGGGGTTTTTTTTTTTTAATGTCATTTTAAAACCTAATTGGTGAAAATTCTTGGTCCGGGAAATGAGTGGATCACCTTGCACAGTAAGTAGTGATTTTGAGCCATTAAAAACACGTGATTCCCTGTTGTTGGAGGAAGGTGATTAACTGGAACATAGTTCCTTTACTTTAAATATAATATTCCTCTAGTACATGTGAAGTAACACTTTGCGTCAATTTGTTGTGTTAACTTTTTAGTAGATGCTGTCCAGGGTTCTCAGTAACTCTTTACCTTGGTTTTGTACGTTAGGTGGCCGGAGCTTATACCATGATGGTCTTAGTTTGTTGTTTTTTATTAGCCCTTATTTTGGGATGAATTGGAGTTGACTGACCACTGACGTGGTGTTCCTGTTAATAATGGCGAGGTGGCCAGGTCCCACTCGGTCAGGACTCAGCTCAGTCTTGCCCAGAGCTTCCCCTCCTGTGTCATGCCATCCTGCCCACCCCACATAAAAGAGATGTGGCTTGGCACCTGGTCTGGCTCCTTCTCAGGTGAATCAGTCATCCTGCGATAAGCAAGCCTTGCTCCCAGCCTGAAGGCAGCACTGCCCTGGCATACGTGGGCTTCCCCACGGGAGCCGACCTGGGCGAGCTTGTCCGAGTAGAACATAACCTAGGTGACAACTTTATATACCACACGAGCCTAGAGATTGTGTGTTACCAATTAAGGGGCCTGGGATGGTGGAGGTAAGGGAGGCAGTGGGATGTACTGTCATCATTGGAAAGTTTGTAGGAATACATCATCAGTGTTCAGAGTGCCTTTTATACCAATTAAACTGGGAGGGTACAAGGCAGAATATACTCGTACTAGCTGTTTATCTGGAATTATTTACATCTGTATTGGAAAGACTATAATTTGGATATCAAATCAGTTGCAAAAAAGGACTAGAAGACACATGCTCTGAAAAAATGTAAATGTACTTCTCAGTGACAAAAAGTCTTTGAGTAACTCTGATTTCTGAGTTGTTAACCTATTCAGTCCCAAGTTTGCAAGCCTGTGATATTTCAACAAAACTGACACAGAACCAAGTTACCCTAAGTGGTCGATTGCAGAATGAAGGCATGTTTGGGGATCAGGGCGGAGGGGCACAGTGGGTCAAGGCTGGCGCTTCACCCTGGTCCTCACCACATCTCCCAAGCCCTGACTGGGAAGGTGCACACACAGAGCCTCCACAGGCGTCCGGGTGCCACAGGCAGGGGTGCCAGGCAGGGGTGCCAGGCAGGCAGGCTGCAAAGTTTGAGTGTCCACCAGCCTACACTACTTCGCCGCTGAGCCCCCATCCCCACATCAACCTAGGCCCAAGGTGGATTTGAGCTTAATAGTGCTACCCACCAAAGCGTGGGAGCAACGGGGGCTGCTCCATTGTAAGGGGTGACTCAAACAGCCATCCCGGAGATGAGCTCCACCGTCGTGGCCCCAACGCCACCTAGAACACCTGCTTCCCAGCACTGCTGTAAATCCTCTCGGTCTCGGTCCTCTTATGGCCCACTTGCCTAAGTAAGCTCTGTGACCGTCAGGTTCAAACCGTGCTCTCTGCCAGTCCCCGTAACTTTGTGACCCCCATACCTGACGCCCCCACCAATCCCCTGAGGCATTTATCCCTGCTGTCCACCCGCAGCCGCCTCGGCCAGTCCCTGACCCCGCACTCCCCAACTCGAGGCTATAAGGGCACCTCTGCTCTTCTCGTACTCTATTTTGTTCTCCGAGCCTCAACCCCCACTTTCCCCTTTTCCCGTGGCTGCCTCCCCCCGCCAGAATAAAGGACCTCTTGTGTGGTTGACACAAGGTGTCTGGGGTTTGGAGATTTGTGGCAAAAATAGCTAACACTCATAGGGCCGAATCCAGTGATTTCCACGAAGACGACGCAGCAAGCGGTTCCCCCGCGGAGGGAATGCCGGGAAGCCGCCATGAAGAGGTCACGGAGCGGGCTGGGGTCCGGCACCCTGCACCCCGCATCCCGCGCCGGCGCCTCCCGCACCCCACACCCCACGCCCCACGCCCCGCGCCTTCCGCACCCCGCGCCCCGCGCCCCGCACCTTCCGCACCCCGCCAGCGCCTCCCGCACCCCACACCCCGCGCCCGGCGGGCGGACGGTAGCCTCGGCGACGCTAGGAGGCGCCCCACGGCGAAGTCATGTACTCGGTGCCGGAGCTTTATCCGAGGCGGAAGCGGCTGGACGGGCGGGCCTCTCCGCTGCTGGACGTGAGCGCAGCCTCGGGGTCGCCCCACGCTCGGTGGCCGGCGGGGAGGCGGACACGACGGGCCCAGCCGGGACCGCGTCTCCAGAGGTGGCCGCCGCCTGGGCCCGGATGGCGGTCACCCCCAAACCCCAGACTGCGTGGGACACGGGCGGGCTTCCATTCTGGTTCCCCCGGTGGACCTTCCGCTGGACCTCCCGCGGGTTTAGGAAGCCCCTCGCTTCTCCCAGGGTGGTGGTTGCAACGGTAACAGCCCCACGGCGCGGCCCGGGGAGAGGCCGGGCAGCCCGGCTGACCCCTTCCCGCCGCCCTTGGGGCTCGGTCCTCCTGCGTGTCCGGCTCCGCCACGGGCTGCGGAGGGGAACAGCAAGGAAGGCCTTCGAACTAGGTGCGTTTTCTTCCTCCCTCTGTTTTTACTGAAACCACATTGAAGAACAGTCCAAAGGGATAAAACCCTGGCTTCAAGTTGGAAAAAAAAAAAACTGAAATTTTAATTATTTATGCTGAAATTATTTCTTCTTACAGCATTTGGGATTGCGATTAGGGATGTGGTACTGGAAAGATGAAACCAGAACTCTTGAATTCAGAAGGTAAAAATTCACAACACTTAATTAGAATTTTAATAAAAATGACGTGTTTGGGGTTTAAAAAAATGGACGCAACAGAGTAGAAAGAATCAGATGTCTGCTAAAATCCCATTTTTTTCAGGTAACCATTTTGGTCTCTCAGACAGCTTTTTCTGTCAACATTAGCAGCTTCTATCCGTGTACCAGATGTGGGGTTCCTCAGTTCATTGAGCCTTTGAAGCATCTGGGTGCAAATCCACGTTACAGATGAGGAAAATGAGTTTCAAAGGGTGAAGTAATTTCTGGACAATTCCCTGAACACGGCCTTGTCCCACAGGGACAGCTAAGACCATTTAAGCCTAAATCTGTTTGGATGAAAGCATGCATTCCCAACTGCTATGTAAAGTTACTTTGCTTGAGTTGCAGAAGAAACAGTTTCATCATCTGAGTGGGATCATATTACATCTTCTGCAATAGGTGGTATATTTTACAAGTTAAAATGACTACATGGAAAATTGTCTAGATCGGGCATTTGGCATAGCAGTTAAGATGCCGCTTGGAGTGCCAGATCTCATAGTCAGCACCTGGGTCTCCTCCCAGCTCCACCCGGGGTTCCAGCCACCTGCTGGTGCACACCCTGGCAGGGTCAAGTGCAGTGCGTGTGTCCCTGCCAGCCTTGGGAGAGACTTGGGTTGAGTTTCCGGTTCCTGGCTTCGGTCTGTGGTATTGTGGGCAGTGAACACCTGGATGGGCACTCTGCCTTATTTGGAAAAAAAAAAAAAAAAGCCAGACAACCAAATTTTAAACTTCATTAAGAAAACACTGATTGGCCCTGTGTGATAGCGTTGTGGTTAAAGTCCTTGCCTTGGATGCGCTGGCATCCCACATGGGCACCGGTTCTAATCCTACAGGCTCCACTTCCCATCCAGCTCCCTGCTTGTGGCCTGGGAAAGCAGTCAAGGATGGCCCAAAGCCTTGGGACCCTGCACCTGTGTGGGATACTCAAAAGAAGCTCCTGGTTCCTGGCTTCCTGGTTTGTTTTTCTTAAAAAACAAAACAAACAAACAAAAAACAAACAACAACAAAAAAACCAAAAAGCAAACAAAAACACTAAAACACTGATTTTTCTAGCCAAGCTAGTAATACAAGCCCCATTTTTGTTTATTTTTAAAGATTTATTTATTTTTATTGCAACGTCAGCTATACAGAGAGGAGGCGAGACAGAGAAGGCCTTCTGTCTGATGACTCATTCCCAAGTAACTGCAATGGCAGGTGCTGAGCCAATCTGAAAACAAGAGCCAGGAGCTTCTTCCTCCAGGTCTCCCATGCAGGTGCAGGGTCCCAAGGCTTCTGGCCATCCTCAACTGCTTTCCCAGGCCGCAAGCAGGGAGCTGGATGGGAAGCGGAACAGCTGGGATTAGAACCGGCAACTGGGCCCATATGGGATCTTGGCAAGTGTAAGGCGAGGACTTTAGCTGCCAGGCCACCACGCCAGGCCCTATTTTTATTTTTAGTAAGAGTTACAAATAGAAGGAGAAATGAAGACAAAGAGATAGGTCTCCCATCTGCTGATTCACTCCCCAAATGGCCTCATTGGCTGGAGCTGAGCTGATCTGATGCCAGGAGCTTCTTCCAGGTCTCCCACATGGATGAAAGTGGAGCAGCTGGGACACAAACCAGTGCCCACATGGAATCCTGGCAAGGCAAGGCCCAAGAAAAAATTTCTTAATCAACACTAATCCCTGTGGGGAGGCATCTTTCTGATTTCTTCATGGTATTTGACAAGGAGATCATAAGGATCTACGTGATTGATGCCTGTAGAAAATGAATAGAGTTAGGGAGGGCGAGCCTCTGGGTGTGTGTTACCCACGTGCCATAGTTGCCAGAAGAAAAATGAAAGATGTAGTCCACCACGGGGGTCCAAACCTGTGAGTCTGGCAGATATCATGGCTCCTGCAGAGAACGTGCTCTCTGTAAGGCAGGATGCCACACCCTGCTTGTCTCTGAACCACGTTTCTATTTTCTAGTCAGTGTTTGTAGATGCACTTGAGAGCCTGTGCTCGGCCGTAACCAGACACGGTGTGTGATGTCGCAGCTGCTGCTGACGCCCAGTGGGACTGGGATATCTGTGGTCTAATAGACCCTTTACTGCTTGATTGAGCGGGTGCAATTTGTCAGGAAGCCCCGAGTTAAGCCAAGGGCCTTGGCAATGGTAATAAGGCCTTTTAGAAGAAGCCACAGCTGTGGGCACTGCTGAGGGAGGAGCAGCATTGCATGGTGACCCAGCCAGGGAAACTTGGGCACCAGGGAAACTTAGTTCCACAGCCAGGGAAACTGGGCACCAGTCCGGGCTTTGCCAGCTGCTGTGGGATTTTGGCCAAATTCTTGAATCTCTTCCTTTGGCTCTCATGGAAAAAATAAAAATGGTGTAATGATAATATTTTCTTTATGGATTTGCTATGGATTATAAGAGATTGTCTAAAGCATTTGGCATGCACCAAAGGACTTGAAAACATTTGTTGCACCAAAGTAAACTTTTAATGTCATGGTTCTGAGAACTTTTTGAAGTGCAGTTGTATGCTAGTCCTAAGATAACCTAAGCTGCGATCATAGTGTGGCTTGTTTCTAGGTTAGGGTCCTGATTGTCTCGTTTCTTTTGCAGTTTTCTGCCTACCATGGAATTCAAGGAAAAAGGAAGGAAAGGCAAGGCAGTCCACTTTCCCGAAATTGATGGCGCGGCTGCAGAAAGGTAGTCCAGCTAGCACCTCCCAAACTCTTTCCATTCTCCAAGGTCGAAATGCAAAAGCCCATCAAGGGCAGCCTATGCAGTGTTTCAGCACTGTGAGAGTGGGAGTTGCATCAGTCCCTTTAAAATGTGTTCCTAGGATAACTTGGCTATTGGATCAGATTTAGCATTTTATGTCTTTAAAAGTCCCAAATAGTAACTACTTCAGAAATAGATGATGAAAATAATCTATTTTGGATGGAATGTCTGTATTTTTGCACCTGGCAGGGGGCATTCCTCTTGCCCCTGACATAGGAAATGTAGTGTATAAGTCAAATCATTCGGAGATGATTTCGCATTAAACAAAACCCACACGGGACACCCGGGCTCTCATTACTTTGTGCATCTCAGGGTGGAGTAAGTGAAATCCCTTTGGAAACTCTATTGGGGAGTGTTATGTTCCAAAACAGATTGACAGATAAAAGGCTTGCTTCAAGAGACACAGTCAAATCCCTGGAGAAGCGAGGTCTGCTGGGCAGCGTGACGCTGGACGACGTGAAATGTGAGCACCTGCCTCCTGCCCCTCCCAGAAGTTGTGTACTGTGACTGTCCAAGGCACAGCTCCTTGCTGCGCCCTACAACGGCCCGCCTTCTCTCCCTTCAGTTGTCGTGTTGCTGCTGCTGCAGGATTCCGAGATGCAGCGGATTTGTTCTTTTACAACTTTTGTGAGGTACGCCGGGCTCACAAGATAATGGAGAGCAAACGTTTGCCCTGTATTCTGTAGTAATTCCATCAACTAAGCGATGAAACACCCGGTTTCTGGAGAAAGAGCCAGAGGCTGGCTCTATGCAAGCCATCCTTGTGGGAATTAGTCTGAGAGACTGACACCAACGAGTCTGGAAGAGGAAGCCAGGCACCTTGAGGAAAGCTGGGACCCCATGTAGGCTGCGTCATTGAGGGCACCTGGGCAAGGGCCTGGAAAAATGAAGTGAAAGGACACACTTTGGTGTTTCTTAAGCCTGTGCCTATTTTTTTCATATTAATTTTCCTTGAACTTTCAGAAGACACTTTATATTTGTAGAACAGTTAGAAAGATCTTCCAATGGCTTGAAGATTTGTTTTCTCCACCAGTTAAATTTGGGAATCCTGATAAGGAATAGGTGATTCTGGGCAAGTTTCCTAACTTTAAAAACTTTTTGAACTTATTTTATTTGAGAGAAGGTCTTCCATCTACTTGTTCACTCCCCAAATGCCTGCCACAGCCAGCATTTTGCCAAACTGAAGCCAGGAGAATATAATTCAATCTGAGTCTCTGACATGGGTGCCAAGGACCCCAGTACTTGAACCATCACGTGATGCTTTCCCAGGGTGCACATTGGCGGGCAGCTGAGTTGCAAGTTGAGAAGGAAATTGAACCCAGGGCCTTCGGTATGGCACGTGAGTGCCCCAAGCCACATCTTCCCTGCTGAGCCCCGCGTCCACCCCTCTTGACCTTTCTAAGCCTCCTGGTCCTCAGCTACAAAATTGGAAGTGGGATAGTCCCTGATAGTGTCTCCGGCGGCGCCTCACTGGGAGTGCTCAGTGAGGGTTAGGGACCCGACCCCGTAGGCTTCCCTCCCCAAACCCTTCATCATTCGCTGCAAGGGCTGCTCAGTGGCAAGCACCCCAACCTGCCCCAACCACAGGACACAGCCTGACCACAGGGCATCCTAAGAATACGGACTGTGCGGCCCCCCAATCAGTGCTGGAGAGGAAGCTAGCAGGTAAAACCCCCAATTCTGTCTGGTAGAATACCTGCAGATTGTACCCTGGGTCCCCGAGTCCCTGTAGGACTGAACTCCATACTGATGACCTGTTAATAATGCCTCACCATCCACACACACACACACTCACTCACTGCATACACACACCCATACACACACACCATACACACACATATACAAACCACACACATATATACATATACATATACATACATGTACAATACACAGACCATCCTGTACACATACGCACAACCATACACACTCTGTACATACACATGCCACAATACATGCATGCACAGACCATACACACATCATGCATACACATACACCCTGTACCCCACACACATACATACACACCAGGCACACAAATACATACACGCAGGCACATACATTCACGTGCTGATGTTAACTGAAATAATTTCCCAAGTGGGCCTCTTACTCTCCTGTCTCTGTTTGAGCTCTGTTTCTGGAGGAACTCGACTGGAGACATCCTGTTCCATGGCTGTATGTGAAGAAAGCCTGCCAGGGGGACTGGCATTATGCTGTGCAGGCTGAGTCCCCACCTGCAATGCCAGCACCTCATATGAATGCCGGTTCAAGTCCTAGCTGTCCCACTTCCAACCCAGTTCCCTGCTACTATGCCTGGGAAAATAATAAAGATGGCCCAGGTGCTTGGACCCCTGCACCCACATGGGAGACCTGAAAGAAATTCTAGTCTCTTGGCTTCTGCCTGGCCCAGCCCTGGCTGTTGTGGTCATTTGGTGAGTAGACCAGCAAGATTCTCTCCCTCTCTCTCCCTTGCTAATTTTGCCTTTCAAATAAATAATAATCTCTGTTTTGTTTTTGGTTTTTGTTTGTTTGTTTGTTTTTTTTTTTAAGGAGAACATGCCAGAGTAAGAATTTCCATTTGGGGATAGAAAGAATACAATGAAATTCAAGCAAGAAAATTTAGAAAGAAATCAATGACTTATCTCTCTCTCTTTTTAAGAAAATTATTTATTTGAAAGGCAGGGTTAAAGAGATCTTGCTGTTTCACTCACCAAATGGCCACCACAGCAGGAGCTGAGGCAGGCTGCACCTGAACCCGGAGCTTCTTCCAGATCTCATACGTGGATGCATGGAACCGAGCGCTCGGGCCGTCCTCTGCTGCTTTCCCAGGTGCATTAGCAGGGAGCTGGATCAGAAATGGAACATCCTGGACTGGAACCCCTTGAACTCATGGGATACTGTCATTGCAGGCAGCAGCTTCTGTGCTGTGCCACAATGCTAGTCCCATAAACAGTGACTTCTGGTGAAAGTTAGTTGAGATAGTACTGTATAATCAGCATATTCTTTGGAGAGGAAGCCATGATAATTTAATATGCAATACACTGTGTTCTAATGATTTCACTTCCATCTCTAATATTTTAAAAATACCTAAATACTCACCAATAGAAGCCTAGTTAAATTACCAATGAACCATGGAATGCTCTGTACAGCTATTGATAAAATGTAGTGTCATGGGGGGGGGTCTACGTTCCACAGATAGGCGGCAAGAACAATTTGCAAAGACTTGTGTTTGCAACCTCATCCCACTTGTTGCCAAAAGATGTGAAGGGATCTTCACGTGCAAGCATATGTGTTGCTAGGGGAGGATGTTATATGTGGCTGTCAACTTTGGAAATCTTAGGGGCCCTCATGCCAGGGTCTCAAAAGTGACTACCGTTAAGGAAGTGGGTTGGTGACAGAGAGGGGAGGAGAGTACACGCACTTGATGGATTTAGGGACAGGCACAGAGATTCCCGTGACAGCCGGGGCTGGGGCCAGGCCGAAGCTGGGAGCTTGGCCCTCCGTAGACATCTCCCGGCCGGATGGCAGGGACCCAGCAGCTCGAGTCACTGTGTGTATCTCCCGGAATTTCTATCAGCAGGAAGCTGGGATTGAGAATGAGGCCAGGACTGGAACCCAGGCACCCTAATCGAACAACTGTGCCACGCACCTGTCCCCAGAAGGTTTTATTTTTAGTGTCTGATCTCCCCGAAAATTTTATTTACAAGAATCAGATTTCTTACATTGTCAAGAATATAATAAGTAGGACTTTTAAATGACAAATTAATTGTGTGATTGGTGTAATAACGCATTTCTAGTTATTCTTCAACCATGTAGTCACTTGGTGTTTTTTTTATTTTTAAATGAGAAATCTTATATTTGGAGTACCTTAGAGTTTATTTCTCTTTGTTTCTCTTTTCACTTCTCCCCGTAGGAGTAAGAGTCTTGACAATTTCCTCATGGCATTACTGTACTACTTAGCTTATTTCTTGGAAAAAAACTCACTGGAAAGGAAGCCCAAAAGCTACATGGTGTAAGTACGGATGTGTGATGTGCCTCACCGCCAGAGTTAAAACGAACTCTTGTCCTGGATGGAGTGGCGGCATGTGCTAGGATTTGAGCATCCAGGCATCCACATGTGAGGGCTTCACCCAGCCAAGGTGTCCGTGGGCAGGGCATCAGAACAGGTCCTTCGGGTGCAGCACCCCTGAGTAACTGCTGGTGGCTTCAGAAGAAGGGACGAGAGCAGCAGAGGCACGTGGACGTATTTTGTGTCCTCACAGGGTGGCTTGCCCTGCTCCGCATCCCCAACCCCGCCACCAGAATATGAACCAGGTAAATCTCTTTTCTCTTTAGCTGACCCCGTTCATAGTATTGTGTTACTAAAAGCAGGGCCAACTATACCTAGACATTTTATATGTGAAGAGTCTGCTAATTTTTAAAATCCACTGAATCATTTATATGGCTATGTTTTAGCAAAAATAATCCAGTTAATAAAGACTTTCCCAATAGTCACATATAATCAAAACCATCTGCATCATTTAAAATTTTCTAGTAACCATATTCTAAAATAATATTTAAAAGGGTCTAACACAGTAGCCTAGTAGTTATTGTCCCTGCCTTGCACGTGCTGGGATCCCATATGGGTGTTGGTTTGTATTGTGGCTGTTCCATTTCCCATCCAGTTCCCTGCTTGTGGCCTGGGAGAGCAATAGAGGATGGCCCAAAGCCTTAGGACCCTACACCTGCTTGGGAGACCCAGAAGAAGCTCCTGGCTTCAGGTTGGCTCAGGACCAGCCATTGCGGCTACCTGGGGAGTGAACCCGTGCACAGGACATCTTTCTATCTCCTTCTCTCCGTAAAATCTGACTTTCCAAGAAAAACAAATAAATCTTTAATAATAATAATAACATAAAAGGATACAACTGAAAGTGACTTTTTAAATACTCATTTAAAAAAATATTTTACTTATTTGAGGCAGGGAGAGGTCCCCCATCTGCTGGTTCCCTACCCACATACTTGTTACAGTGAAGCCTGGGGCGAGCTAAAGCTCCAAGCCCGGAGCACCGTCTGTACCTCCCACGTGGGCGCAGGGGCCCAAGCACGTGAGCCACCCTCTGCTGCCTGCTCAGGCACGTAGCAGACACGTGGGTCCGAAGCAGAGCAGCCAGGACTCAGAACAGCACTGCAATGCTGAAGGTTTAGCGTGCTGCGCTATAAAGTCAGCTGTCTTTTTCTGTAACTGATACTTAAGAGTCATGCATATGCATGGGGTACCATATGGTGTTTCAATACATGTAGAGCTTGTGTAACATTCAGATAGGGATAAACATGTGTCATGTCCTCAAACATTTACTGTCTCTTCACAGTGAAAACATTCAATATTCTTTGTGTTATATTTTTATTTACAAAAATGTTTTTAATGATTGTTTTATGATACGGTTCCATAGGCTCTGGGATTTCCTGTCCTTGCCAAGTTCCCTCCCCCTCCCATTTGATTTCCCCTCTAATTTACAATGGGTGGTCCTTCATGACCAGTGGGTAAGTCCACATTTGATATCTTTTAGGGGAAACCTTAATACTGTGTTTTGTTTAACTCAAGTTGTCAGAGATTTGGTCACTACTGCGTGTTGTCAGCATCAGGAAGTGGTGAGTGATTTGGCTTAGGTTTCCTGTAGTAACCCCTTGAGACCTAGTGTCCGTGTCATGCTTACAACACGTCTTCGCCCAGGCCAGCCCCAGAACGAGTTCAGTAACTGCGGTGGCCGGCGGCTGCCCTACTGAGCGGTGAAGGTACAGGTGTTGTTGGCATGCTTTTTGCTCGTAAAATTCTTGCTGAACAGTTGGTAAATAGAAGAAAAGCTAAGGAACTTTAAAAATTGGTGGATTTGTCCCAAGTGACATTTCACACGACAGCGGAGAACCCGAGGTTTCTTCAGGCGGCTCGAAGTAGAAGTGGCTCAGAGAGGCATACCTAGGGCTTGAACCTACCAGCTCAGAGCAGACAGCAGCTCTCGGGCCTGGGAACTTTGCATGTGCCCAGAATGTACCCTCCCCCGGCCCAGCACACGTGGGGAAGCTCAATGGCTTTGCTCTCAGGAATGCTGGGCAGAGCCAGTGACTTGTTCCTGCAGAATATTTCCAAAATGCACTTCCCTAGTGTGCTATCAGGCAGTTTGAAAAATGTGCTATGGGCCTGGTGCAATAGCGCAGTGGTTAAGTTCCTCGCCTCGCACGCCCGGGATCCCATATGGGAACCAGTTCTAATCCTGGCCGCTCCACTTCCCATCCAGCTCCCTGCCTGTGGCCTGGGAAAGCAGTAGAGGATGGCCCAAAGCCTTGGGACCTTGTACCCACATGGGAGACCTGGAAAGAAGTTCCTGGCTCCTGGCTTCAGATCAGCATAGCACCGGCTGTTGTGGCCACTTGGGGAGTGAATCATCAAATGGAAGATCTTCCTCTCTGTCTCTCCTCCTCTCTGTACATCTGCCTTTCCAATAAAAATAAATAAATCCTTTAAAAAAAGAATAAATTTCCAGGGCAGAGATAATTAAGTCAAAATTTATGATCACTGCATGACACTGAAAATTATGTTCAGACTTTTTATACCAATGTCCTGTTATCAGCAATGTGTACATATATCAGGTTCAACAAAATGTTGTCAGCATTATCATTTGCATGTTTAAAGCCTTGTGTCAAGGGTGTGCTTGGTGGCATTGCAAGATGAAGCAAGGGGGCATGGAGCAGGAGGGGTGGTTTTCTGCAGAACTGAAGCGGCCGGGCTGGCGAGGCCTCTCACTCTCCATCATGCTCAGCTGCCCTGAGCTACTTTTTTTTGTCTCCTGTAACTTTTTCCTTTTTTTTTTTTTTTTTTTTTTTTACTTTGACACGTGAATTCAAGTTGCTGAACTTGAGTCTTGGAGAGGGACATACTCTCATAGCAAGTAGCCCAGTCAAAAGCCTTTTTGTTTAAATTGGTTTATTTATTTGAAAAATGGAGTTACAGAGAGAGAGATATCTTCCATCAACTGGCTCACTCCCTTAATAGCTGCAACAGGCCTGGGGGCTGGACCCATTCAAAACCAGGAGCCAAAAGCTTCTTCTGGGTCTCTCACATGGATGCAGAGGTCCAAGCACCTGGACCATCCCCCACTGCTTTCCCTGGTGCATGGTCAGGGAGCTAGAGGGGAAATGGAGCAGCTGATACTCAAACAGGTGCCCACATGGGATGCCAGCACTGCAGGTGGCAGCTTTATGCACTAAGCCACAACACAGTCCCTGTTTACTAAAACTTGAGTACAGTTGACCTCAAAGCTTCAAGGCATTTCTTGATTGCTATGATTTGCTTTTGTTTGTTTCCTATAACAACAAAAAAAAAAAGAGATGTAGCTGCTGGTGACTGGGGCAAAGTAGAGTGAATGGGAAGGGTGGGGTTGCTGAAGAAAATGGGGAGACAGGGTGCGAGGGTGACTCTTGTGTCACATTTGGCACTTGAAGTCACCGTTCACTCAGTTCATTCCAGAAATTCATCTCATTCCTGTGACTCCCAGTCTTTTCCTTAAAAGCGATAAGGATCTGTGCTGGCAATATCCTTCTCATCCCATCCCCTTGCAGGCTGGCTGCAATTGTGAGTCTAATGATTGTGAACCTCAGAATGGGGCAGTTGAACATTCATTTCACTTTTTGCCTGGTGACACGGCTGTTCTCAACAGCAGCACAATATCACATCCTGCCCTGTGGTAGTAAGGCAGAAACTCAGCTTTCACCTTGGGACGCCGTGTCAGCCAGAGCAGCTCATCCGGTGGGAAGTCTACTTGCAGTTCAGTGGGCCGTGGGGCGGAGTCTCTCTGGGAAGCTACACTTTTAGAACTGCACCTGCCTCCTCCACTGGCACAGTTGAAGAGCCGAGAGGTGGGGCTGCGTTCCCATTCCCAGCCCCAAGTCCGAGCTTTGCAGGAATGCCAGCGACCAAGTGGAAAAACGTGCAGCCAGTCATTTGTTAGTCGAGCTGTTCCGTGTGAATTAGGGTTTCCCATCTGTAGCACTGAGGACTCAGGGTTGGGCTGGTAGTAACCTATTAGACTAGGGGTAAGTGCACCTGCATCCCACGCTGTGGTACTTGGCTTGACCCGGCTCCAGTTCCTGAGCTCAGCTTCCTGCTAATGCAAGACACTGGCAGGTGGCAGTGATGGCTCAAGTGATTGTCAGACTTTAGGATTTGAGGGTGTTGAAGAAGGCAAGGAGGGAGCTAAAGTAGAGAGGCTTTGGTTTGGGGGGACAGAATCAGAAATGATGGGGGTAAAGAGATTGGGGATTGAGCCTGCCCAGATGGAGCGAGGGGTATGAAGCCAGGCTGATCATCTGAGCAGCAGGTTGGAACCCCCATTTAAGTGCTTTTTTGGTGGAGGGACTGTGGGTGGGGAGAGGGGAGGGAGGGTGTGTGTGCAGAAGGGCTCCCTGGTGGAGTTGGCACTTGTCTGTTTAAGCACCCCCCCACCCGCTAGCCCTTAGAACTGCTTCCTATTTCATCAGGTCTGGGGGTTCTAGCAGGCCTCAAGGGCCTAATAGGCTCTAACAATGGCTTGGTCCTCCCACCCTTGTGGGACACCTGGGTTGAGTTCCTAGCTCTCAGCTTCAACCCAGCCTCTCCCATTGTGAGCAGTTAGGGAATGAACCTGTAGGTGAGTTTGTCTGTCTCTGTCTCCCCATCTTTAATAAATGAATTCATAAACATGTTTAAAAATGTAAAATGAAGACCATAGAGCATAAAGAATATATGGGACGGTGGCAATTCACCTTAAGAGATACACAGGTCCAATGATTGAACAGCAAGGGCCCGGGAGGATTTTCCTGCATCACAGCCCAAGACAGTAAGCTGGAACGTGAAGTCATGCAGACTCACTGGTACTTCTGGAGTCCCAATGCTGACCTTTTGCTGACTCATCCAGACATCTGCCAACATTAATCCAGACTGTCTTTTTTCTCCTATCCTGCTCCCCTGACCCACCCTGCAGGGGCCTTGTGGAGAAAAAAGAGATGGAGCTGGCTGTCAGCAAGTTGGAGGCAGCACAGAAGCATCTGGCTCAGAAGTACTGCATGCTCGTGCTGGGCCTGGGCATGCCGGATAAGCACCACATGTCCTGCGGGAAGTAAGCCTGCGCCCAGCGCCCTATCCCCTGCCCCTGGACTCCGCAAAGGTCATGGAGGATGCACATTACCATGCTGGGATTCCCAACCCTCCTTTTTTTTTTTTTTTTGCGCCAAACTGAACCTGTGTTGAATTCTATTTCTCCATGTGTTTTTAAAGTCCCCATGGTATGTCCACACATCCTTGACATCCCACTTTGATTTGACTGTTGGTACCCTGCAGGAAGTGCATCATTTTTTTAGAATACCAGCATTCAGGTGAGTCTGGGTGCTAAACACCTGTGATGTCTCCTTTGAGGGAGCCGGGTGGCTACGGAAGGAACCCCGAGATCTCCCTAGCTGGGCAGTAGTAAGTGAAGTGTCTGAACCCCTCAGCAGAATCTTGCTCTCTACCTGGAGGGATGCCTGGTGCCTCAGAAAGGAGCAGGTGATTTCCCACTGTGGCCTTGGGTCTGAGTTTAGGGGGCTTTGCCCTTTGCCCATTTTGTAGCAGCACAGTTGTGATTACCAGCTGCTGGGCAGGACTTATAAAGATAATGTTGTGGGGAGATGACTTTTGCCTTAGGGTGACAATGTCTACACTCCTGTGATCAAAATGCAAAAAGAAGGACCCCGGTGTGGTGTTGCAGTGGTTGAAGGATTCCACATGATCACTGATTTGAATCCTGGTTTCTCCACTTCCATCCATCTCCCATGCCAGAGTGATTGCAGAAAGTAGTAGCAGATGGGCCTGGAGGGATAGCGTAACCGTTGAAGTCCTCACCTTGAACACACCAGGATCCCATATGGGCACTGGTTCTAATCCTAGCAGGCCTGCTTCCCATCCAGCTCCCTGTTTGTGGTATGGGAAAACAGTGGGGGATGGCCCAAAGCCTAGGGACCCTGCACCCGCATGGGAGTCCCAAAAGAGGCTCTGGACTTCTGGCTTTGGATTGGCTAAGTTCCAGCTGTTGTGTCCGGTTTGGGAGTAAGTCATCAGACAGAAGATCTTCCTCTGTCTCTCCTCCTCTCTGTATATCTGCCTTTCCAATAAAAATAAATAAATCTTAAAAAAAAAAAGTGTTAGCAGAAGATGACCCAGGTGGGAGACCAGAATGGCATGTTTTGAATTTTTTTTTTTAAATGTAAGAAACAGCCTCCTTGCCGCAAAGTTTGGACTCATAGGACAGAAAGCTTCAACCTCCAGCCCAAAGTCTCACCCAGCCTGAAGTACAGATCATGCATCCTTGTCACACAGAAATTTTCTTTGCACTCAGCAGAAGAACCCAGTGCCTGACGAATCGGACTCCACTCCCCCACCTTTTCAGAGAGCTGGTAGACAGCTGTCAGCGGGCCGACACACGCACGTGCTTGTTGGCATGTGTGTTTTCTGCATCTGCATTCCCTGTTCTTAGAACTTTGAATGGCAGCTGTCACTGTTCTGTCATATCGTACAGCTTTGCAATTAACTGTTCTTTCTATTGACCTTTAAGTGCCTTCACTTTCTTTCCCCCCTGTTTTATATATAAACTACTTTGCTCACTTGGGTACTTTTTTCGTGGCCTGCTATCCAGAGTACATTTACTTCAAAGACACAAACAGTTGCATAGCTCTGGATACATAGCGACAGATGGTTCTCCAGAAAGGTTCAAACATTTTGCAGCATACCAGCAGGAAGCACACCTACTCACATTGGGTTTTATTACTTTGTAATTTGGGAGTTTGAAAGTATATAAAAATCTTAATGCTGTTTAATTAAACTTTGGATATCTTTGTTATAAAAAGATTGATTTTTATTTGAAAGGCAGACTTATAGAAAGAAGGAGAGGCAGAAAGATCTTCTATGCACTGGTTCACTCCCCAAGTGACCATAAGGCTGGAGCTGAGCCGATCTGAGGCCAGGAGCTAGGAACTTCTTCCTAGTCTCCCACATGGGTGCGAGGTCCCAAAGATTTGGGCCATCCTTCACAGCTTTTCTAGGCCATGAGCAGAGAGCTGGATTGGAAGTGGAAGAGCAGCCAGGACACAAAGCAGTGCCCATGGTGATGCCAGCAGTGTAGAGGGAGAATTAGCTTGTATATTTCCACAGTGGCCTCTTGGAATAACTTGCACTGACCTCAGATACTGTGCTCCTTTTTGGTGTAAAAGAGTTGCCTGTTTATTTTTAAAGATGTATTTGTTTATTTGAAAGGCACAGTGCTAGCCCCGGTTTTTCCATGATGAACACAGAGCAATGCAGTCTGTGTTCTGTTTTTGATGCATGCCATGCGTTGAGCACCTGCATTGCGATGTGTGGTGTCGTGTGCTGGGATACAGAGAACAGAGCTGGTGCAGACCTAGAGGAGGAGTCTTTGGGTACCTGGTGCAGAGATTGCTGATGGCTGCACCAGAGATATGAGTGCACTTCCAGAAGTTTGTGGACGGAGGGCACTAAAAGATGAGTTTATTTTGGCGCAAAGGACATTTTGAATTTTTCATGAATTTTTTGAAGACCCTTACTGCAGGAGCCCAAGAACTGTAGGCGGAGGTTCAGTTTACAACAGACTCCATTTACGAAAAAATGGGCTTGTCTCTCCTTCTGGCAGAACTTTCAAGAAAAGTGTTATGATAAAATCATAGCTTTAAGTTTCCTACTCTGTTACCTACAAATGTGCCTTTTCTCTTCTTCTTCTTCTTTTTTTTTTTTTGTAAATGTTTATGTGTTTATTTGAGAGGCAGGAATCTTCTCTGCTGGTTCACTCATCAAATGGCCACAATGGCTGGTTCTCTGCCAATGTGAAGCCAGGAGCTTCCTCCAGGTCTCCCACATGGGTGCAGGGGACCAAGGATTTGGGCCATCATCCATTGTTCTCCCAGGGACATTAACAGGAAGCTGAGTTGGAAGTGGAGCAGCCACTTCAACATTCACTTCCACATTCATATGGGATGCTGGTACCACCACAGACAGCAGCTTCATCTACTGTGCCACACAATGCTGCACTTACTTTTTCTCATCTTAGCACTGTGCTGACTCTAACTTCTCTTGTCTTCAAAGTATCACTTCAAGTTGAAAAGACCAGAATTTAAGATTTACAAAAAGCGGGCCCAGTGTGATGGCTCAACAGCTAAATCCTCATCTTGCACGTGTCAGGATCCCAAAGGGCGCTAGTTTATACCCCGAGTGCTCCACTTTCTGTTCAGTTCCCTGCTTGTGGCCTGACAAAGTGGTAGAGAATGGGCCAAAGCCTTATCTTGATGCATTTTTTTTATATTCACACATTTTAAAGATATTTAGTGTGTTCCATGAACTTTTTGACATTCCCATATATATGATAGAGTTCCAACTTCAGCTTCTTTAACCATAACTTGGAAACAGCCACACAGACTATCTCAAAGGGAAGGACTAAGGATCGCAGTAAGTGTGAAGAGCTAGCATGGCATGTGGTACCTGGCCTTCAAATATGGCTCTTTCTTTAATTCTTTGCTGAAGACTTGAACTTGAGGAGATGAGTCTGCTGGGAAGGAGGCATAGGTCCCGGCAAATGCTGAGCCAACTTATCTGTCTCACCCTCAAAGCCATGAGCTAGTGTGGGTCCCTTCAGGCTATGTGAGAAGGCTGCAGCTTCTGAGGGGTTTGGATTTGTGGGTGACTCTAAAGATCCAAGTCCAGGGCCAGTCCCTGGAGTCACAATTACTCCAAAGAAGGCCAATCCACACAAAACAGCAGCAAAACCTTGGCGTGCTCTGAGGCTAGCCGTGGCCTGTATGAGTCATCAAGTGACCACAGGTGCAGTAGACCCTTCCTTCAACTCCCACGCTACTTCCCTGAAGCTGGGATGAGAATTGGAATGGCCTGTGTTGGGACCAGAGGCCGCTTTCACTTGCTGTGCCCAGACTACTACAGTGGCTTTAGGATTGGGTTGCAAAGACTCTTGTGCAAATTTCTGCCCTTCAGTATATTGATTGTGTGATATAGAACTTAACTCATTTTCTGTGTCTCTTTAAACTGTGTGTGTGTGTGTATTTGAAACACAGAATTAGGGAGAGTGTTAAGAGAGAGATCTTCTATTTACTGGCTCATTCTCCAAATGGCTGTAACAGGTGGGACTGAGCCAGGCCAAAGCCAGTAACCACTAACTCCCTCTGTGTCTCCTCCATGGCTGGCAGGGACTCGAGCCATTAGGCCATCACCTGCTGCTCGCCAGATGAATTAACAGGGAGATGGTTTAGAGATGGAACAGTTGGGTCTCAAACCAGCCTCCTGCTATGGGATACAGGCATCCCAAGTGGCAGCCTTGCCGCTGTACCACAATGCTGCCCTGCATGTCTGTTTCTTTTGTAGCCAACAGCCATAATCATTTCTTTTCCTCCACTTAGGACTTAACCTTTAGTTCCATACTTCCAAACACACCTAATGCCTCCTGTTACCTCTTTGCCACTTCCCCGTGGCTCACCTCCCTGGCACCCACAACACCAGCAGCATGCGCAGGAATCCAGTTCTTCACTGGCTCGTTTGTGCCCACTTTCTATAATGGGTACGACATGCGATCAAGCTGTATGGGTGTTTAGTTTGGGGTAACTGAGGAAGTTGAGGAATGAGGTGTTGAGACTCCTTGCCCATGCCTTGAGAGCTTTGATGTAGCCAGATACCCTTGAGAGTCCAATTCTCGGAAAGAAGCTGGGGACTAGGTCACTGAGCAGTTGGACTTTCTCCTCGCCCAAGAGTCGTGCTTTGCTGTGTTGCAGGGAGAAAATCTCAGATACGCAGAAAGACTGGAAATTCTTCGAGGTGGGTCGTGTCCTAGAGCTTTTCCACTTTGATAGGAGAGGGTGAAATATAGCAATAACCTGTGGCCCTCTGTCAAGCACTTAATGGGAGTGTGTGTCCTCAGAGTCATGCTAACACGCTAGACGTTCCATCTTAACACTTCCCTCTGGTTCTCACTTACCCCTCCAGCCCCACAAAGCTGAGGTCCTGTTGGATTGCTCATGGCTTTGCAGGAATGTGGGCTGTGCAGCCCCAGCTGTGCAGCTAGCCGGAGAAGGTGGTTGCTGTCTGCTTCCCCTTGCAGTGCTTTTACACTTTCTGCACCTATGTGGCGTGGGTTGTCTTCCGGCGGCAGCACTTGACCGAGATTGAGGAGGAAGTAGGGAGGCTCTTTCGTACCAGTATGTTCAACATTCCCCGCCGGAAGCGGGAGGAGGAAGAATCAGGAGGGGAGAGGAAGCGCATGACTTTTGTGCAGTTTAGGTATGACCTTTTGACTTCCTCAAGCATAAGCACAATTGCAGAAAACAGGACAACTTGACCCAAACTCACCTTTCTCTCCTCCCCCAGGAGAATGATGGCGAAACGCCCAGCAATTAAAAAAGCCGTTAACATGCGCTCTCCAGTTCTGTCTACCCTGCTGCCCTCTCACAGAGAGAAAGTTCAGAATATCATAGAGAAAAAGTACCAAACAGGAGTGACGCTCCCAGCTCAGGGGCACCTGGACTTTGTGCCCCTACCCAAGTAAGTGGCCCAAGGGGCCTTCGCAGGGCTTCTGGGTGGGCCGAGGAGCGCTGGAGCTCAGGCCGACCCCCTCCACTGCTGTAGAGAAAGCATGAGAACCCCAGCTTCCCTGCATCCTCCCTCCCACCTCTCCAACTGTATCCTTTCGTGAGCATCCCTAGGTACATCCATCCAGGCGAGATAAACTTTGCTGGAGTTCTGGACTCAAGTAGTCCAAGTTGGGAGGAATAAGAGACTTTAAGGCTGAGGTTTTCCTGTTATGAGAGAAATAGAGTTGCGTGGGGAGATACGTAAGCTTTCAGTGGTAGTTCATGGGAAAAGAAGTGGCTTTACACAGATGTGCCTGTGTGTGTGTTTGAGCTTTAGCATCTCAGTCTTTGGTCTTTCCCCCTTCATCGGTGCCATGAATTCTTTTCACAGAGTAGGCATCCTGGGGGAGCCTCGATACCTGTTCAATCCCCATACCCTTCTACCCATTGACCTGGAAGAAAGCGTGAAATCGGGGCGACATTCCTCTGTGATAGAAAGAAACAACGTACGGATTCAGAATACCCTGGACTTGGTGATGAAGACCCTGTCCGTGTCTCACCCAGCATACTCCAGATAGCCCACGGGGAAGTCCCCGCACGGGAAAATGAAGCATGCTGTTCTTAGTCCCTCTATACAGGACGAGTATCTGCTACTATTACTATTATTAAACTTCTCCAAATTGCTCAAGCTTCTTTCCTAAATGTCCTTTAAAGCTCGAAAACTAATTTTACTATTTTTGCTGATTTGTTACTTCTCTTCTTCCTTGACTTCTGTATAACGATGTAGGGTTAGCAGTGTTCCAGTGGACAAGTGAAAACACGTTGGTTTGTTTATTTTGAGTTGATTTTTACTTTATGAGAGAGCATTTTTTGCTGCATATATAGAGATACAGATAGATAAACAAAATTCCATTTTAAAATGCAAGCAAATGTTTTTTTCTTTATTTTTATTTGAAAGGCAGATTTGGAGAGAAAGAGAGAGAGAGAGAGAGAGAGAAAGATCTTCTATCCCCTGGCTTTCTTGCTACATGGCCACAATGGCCAGAGCTGAGCTGATCTGAAGCCGGGAGCCAGCATGCTCTTCTAGGCCTTCCACATGGACATAGGGGTCCAACACCTTGGGCCATCCTCCAGCCATAAGCACAAGGCTGGATGGGAAGTGGAGCAACTGGGACATGAAGTGGCACCCATATGGGATGCTGGTGCTACATGGCCGAGGATTAGCCTGTTGTAAACATGAAAACTTCAAAAAGCCACAGAAAATGGAGTTAAAAGATAAGTTTATTTTAGTGGAAAGTTTTAAAGGTATCTCTCCTTAATACTACTTTTTGAAACTTTCTTTGTGTTTTATTAGAGACAGACAGACCCTCCTACCTACCGGGTCATTCCCCAGATGTTAGGAGACTGAAATGAAATTGGGGCTCCCATATGGTAGGTATTAGGACCCAAAGTTTTGAGCTATCACCTGCTACCTCCCAGCATGCACATTAGTGGGACACTGGAATTGGAAGTGGAACCGAGAGTCAAGGTACTCCAGTACAGGATTCAGGCATCCCACGCTTGGTCTTTACTGCTGCGCCAAACTCCCACCTCTGCAAAACAAAACAAAAATAAAGAATCCAACATGGATTAATGAATACAGGTATGTTTCAATAAGTCAACAAAAAAATTTGTATTCTGAAAAAGCTATACACGGATTTCAAATGTTTTTGTACCAAGATAACTTAGTTTTTATTTCAATTTTCCATGAATTTTTTAAATGTTCATGTAGGGTTTGTGGTAGGGGGAAAAGAACATGTTTTATATATCAGTCAAGGTTGAATTTGAGAAGTAGAGCACTCACATGCCTTATGTTCTTTTTAAATTGTATCTTTGATATTGTTTACATGGTTGAGAGGGATGCATGCCCATGTGGACCTCTGATTAGGGTGGGAAGGGTCAAGGTATAGAGGAAGGTGGGTGGGACAAACGTTTTAGTTATTTTCTTTTTATTCTGGTCTGATGAGGTAGGAGGGAGGGAACCACTCCTTGCTGCCAAACCACATCAGTACCCGGGGGTAGGGGATAGGGGGCAGTCATCTGATGATGCCTTAGAGACCCCAGTGTGGGGAAGAGTGTTCCAAGGGTATTGACGTGACTGGTTTTGGCGGTTCTGAGACTCTGTCAGTTTGGTTGCACCAGGGTTGAGAAAATCTTTCCAAGGTCTGTTGGCTGGCCACGTCCACTTCGGTGTTCATCTACAGACCCGGACACTTGCTGTAAAGCTTGACCAGGAGAGTGGCCCAGCCTGTTCTGCTTTTTAGCCTGTGATAAAGTGCTCAGCTTCCTCTGCTGACCTAGATAAGTTCGTTATCATGTGCCCTGTGTGTACCTGGGCAACCACAACTGAGGATGCCCAACCCCGATACGTGGACTCGAAGGTCGGATCATATATCTTGTGATTTTTTCCCTGTAGCCATGATTTGAGTGCAGCAGTCCAGCTGGGGAGTCCCCCAAGAAAGTTTGCCTGGGGTGACCTCAGACTTGACTCTTGTGTGTGTCAGATAGTGCTGGATCAGGTTCAGCCTGTCACTTGCACCAGCCAATGATGCACATATAGATAGATGCAGCTACCTGCTCAGTTCTGCGCCCAGCCCCATCTGGAACATGAATTGACTGGTACTCCAGCTGTGTCCAACCTGATCCACCCACAGCCCTGGCTGTCACATTCACCAGTGACAGCTACAACTTCCCAGGTAAGTCAGACCTGAGCTTGTTCAGCTCTGAGTGCTGAAACCCTCACCTTGTATGAGTGTCCTCCCAAAAATTGGTAGGAAAAGGGAATTAAAAGAAAAGTTCACTTTGATGCAAAGCAATGGAAATATTTTTAATTCATTTATTGTCCTTGAAAGTCAAAGTTACAGAGAGAGAGATATCTTTCATATACTGGTTCACTCCCCAAATGACTGAAACAGCCAGAGCTGGGGCCAATACAAAGCTAAGAGCCAGTAGCTTCTTCTGGGCCTCCAATTTGGGTCAGGGTTCTCCAGAAATGGGCTGTCCTCCACTGCTTTCCTAGGCTACAAGCAGGGAGCTAGATGGGAAGTGAAGCAGCCAGGACATGTACTGGCATCCATGTGGGATGCTGTGCCACAGGTTGAGAATTAGCCTGGTACTGCTGCACCACTTTGCCAGTCACAATCTTTTTTTAAAAAAATATTTATTTATTTATTTATTTTTATTGCAAAGTCAGATATACAGAGAGGAGCAGAGACAGAGAAGATCTTCTGTCTGATGATTCACTTCCCAAGTGACCGCAATGGCCAGTGCTGCTCTGAAGCCAGGAGCCAGGAACTTCCTCCAGGTCTCCCACACAGGTACAGGGTCCCAAGGCTTTGGGCCATCCTCAACTGCTTTCCCATAGGCAGGGAGCTGCCGTGATTAGAACCGGTGCCCATATGGGATCCTGGTGAATTCAAGGCGAGGACTTTAGCCACTAGGCCACTGCGCCCACCCCTCCACCCCCCATCTTCATTTTAAAAATGACTGCTAGCATTCTCTTTCAGTGATTTCACCACCGATGTAATCCTTTGCCACGGGGAAGTTTTCAAAGACAGAGATGAGGACCCAGCACGATGGCCCAGTTGGCTACTCCTCCCCTGCAAGGACCAGGATCCCAGAGCTCTGTAAGTCTGTCTTTCCTAGCAAAATAAAGATCTTAAAAAGCGGGGGTGGGGGGGTGGGGGGGTGGGAAGGGGGCAGCGTGGTAGCCTAGTGGCTAGAGTCTTTGCCTTGCATTCACTGGGATCCCATTTAGGCACCAGTTCTAATCCCAGTGGCCCCGCTTCCCATCCAGCTCCCTGCTGGTGGCCTGGAAGAGCAGTGGAGGATGGCCCAAAGCATTGGGACCCTGTGCTCACGTGGGAGACCCAGAAGAAGCTCCTGGGTTTTGGCTTCACATCGGCTCAGCTCCAGCTATTGCTGCCACTTGGGGAGTGAATCAACGGATGGAAGATCTTCTCTCAGTCTCCTCTTCTCTGTATATCTGACTTTCTAACAAAAATAAATCTTAAAAAACAAAAACAAAAACAAACTAGAGCTATATCACCCCCACATCTTAACCCCATGCTGGAGGTGCAGGCTGCCTAGAAGGGCTGACCACGTATGTCTTCCAAAGTTCGCAGGGAGTTCTGCCCATCAGCCAGATGCGTTGGCATAAGGAATGCCAGGTCATCCCACAAATGCAGAAGCTAGGTAAAAGTCCTGGAACTTCCTTTTTTGAAGACACATTTCTACCTTTTTTTTTTAGGGCACAAGATGTAAAATGAATAACATGAAAGTTCATGTTTAAAGACTCCCAGTGTGTCGTTGCACAGTGCCCTGGCTAGCTACCAGATTAAAATGTTTCTCTGCTTAGCAAAAGCTAACTAGGAGGCCAGGATAGGAGCAGGGTGAGAGGCAGAACCTTACACCATGTTCCAGATATGCTGGCCAAGTATCTTCCTTCCAAACAGTGTTGCCGCCTCTCCCGTAGTTAGCATAAATTCATGTTGGTTGGTCTCCAGGAGCTGAGTGGTGGCCAGATCTCAGAGTTGCTTCAGAATTGGAAATGAATCTTGATTGTTTCTTTCTAAGTCAACATAAAGCACCGATCACCAACTGCAGTTGTTGGAAGAAATTAAAAAAGTAAACCCAGCTCACCACTCCCAGGCTCTCTGGAAGTCAGAAAAGAATATTTATGGGGAAAAAAGGATTGTACAAGAACTTTTCTCCAGCGACCCACAGGACAGAGTTGAGAGTAAGCCTCTTCTGTTTGTTGGATGATACCATATTAGGTGGAGTTGCTAACATCCCAGACAGCAAGAACCAAACTCAACATGACCCCTTTTGGCTGACCTTGATGAAGCTAAAACAAATCCAAGCAGGTCCACAGCACAAAGACGAAATGTAGATACACAGAGAGGAAGAGAGACAGAGAGGAAGATCTGTCCAATGGTTCACTCCCCAAGTGGCTGCAATGGCTGGAGCTGAGCCAGTCCAACGGTCTGAGTCCAAAGCCTCTTCTAGGTCTCCCAAGCAGGTGCAGGGTCCCAAGGCTTTGGACCATGCTCAGCTGCTTTCCCTGGCCACAGGCTGAGAGCTGGGTGGGAAGCAAGCCTGCTGAGACCAGAATCGGTGCCTATATGAGATTTTGTTTTGCAAGATGAGGACTTTAGCCGCTAGGCTACTGTGCTGGGCCCCTCAGACCATTTTCTAAACAATAAAACAGCAAACATCAGAGTAAGATGTTCTGTCAGTTGTAAGTGGAGAAGAAAACTCTTGACTTGAACCCAAATCGCTGAAGTACATTAGGAGTGGGCACTCATCCCAGTTTAAGCGGTGCTCCAAATTAGTTTTAAAAAAATCTAGAACACTTTATGAGCAATGTGAAAATTCCAGAAATTCAAGTTCTGCATGACAGGGACCACAGGAACCAGAGAATGGGAGGATGGTGATGGAGGAAGAGCTTCAGGTGGGGGTTGGGGCTGAGGGGTCTCTGTTGCTTCCCGTGGGGCAGCATTTCCCTAAATAGTAGGGCTTGGGTGCTATCCGCGTCTCCAAAGTGGCCGCTCCCCTGACACGGTGCAGTTCAGGACTCCCAGAGGCCGAGAGAATGCTGTCGGTGCTGGCCACTGCCAAGCGTCTGGAAACAGTCGGCCTGTTA